GGAAGACGTACAAGCCTGGAGACGACAATCAGCTGTCCTAAGGCAAGCCATCTTACAAGCTAAACGGACTACCTTCGACAAGTTCATCTCAAATATCAACTATCAAAGTGATAGCCAACGCACTTTAAAAATCCTGGATAACCTCCAAAACAACAGGGAAAGACTCAAGAAAGAACCAATACGTTTAAAGAACAAACTGCTTACCACCGACTCCGAAATAGCTAACTGCTTTGCGAGGTTCTATTCCCACAAGCAAAAGAAAAACCCTGGGCAACGCATACTCATGCGGTAAAAAAGTCTATAAACTGGCCTTTGACTTCTGACTTCAAGCTACCATCACCCCACTGTATATCATATTCGATATCTACCACAGTACTCACCTCACCTTTTTTCTACCTTTTCTGCCTTCGTCTTTGAAACGCTCTTCTATTCTCCCCCCCCCCATCTCGACCTTTTTCACTTTGATGTTTCTTCCCCTCTGTGAAGCCTGAAGTCAACTAAAGGGCTAATGATACCCATCAAAACGCCTGCCATTTGATATAAATAAATAATTATCCGAATCACCGAGCCAATATAATGGTTAACAATGAAGTTGACGATTAATGGTAAGGAATCACTACGGCAGGCGTTAGCCCTTAATTGGTGCGTTATCTTGTTTAATTCTGACTTGTATCTGGAGCTGACTCATTATATTATTAGAGCCACCCTTAAAAGAAGGAAAAGTTATGTACTTTTATGAGTGGAAATAACTAAAGGGAGTTAAAACTCCGAGAATTTAAAAAGAGGAGGAGGGAGAATGGGATGGGGTGAGAAAATGATGGCAACATCGAGGTAGAAAAGTGTTTAACGTCCAAAGATTATTGGAAGGGGGTTGTAAAGCATTTACCAAGTGTGCATTTCACGTTCCAAAATTCATTTGTCATGATCGTCCCCAAGATGGCAGTAAATGTTAGTCAACTAGACCCACTACCTACTGATCGCGTTTTTTTTCACTCAAAATGGTTCGATGCTGCGGCTCCTTTTCGTGGTTGAGAAGGTCTACTTTTCTTGCGCTTGCAGCATATTTGAGGTGAGAAAGGTAAAATTTCAATTTGGGAAAAATTCGCAAGTTGTGCACTCGAACGTGTTAATGTGGCATTGACTCATCTTAACGAAATATGTAATCATTTTTTTAAGCATATTAGAATTAAATCATATAAGTTATAAAAATTGCTTTGTTGATTATTACCTAGTTATCTCAATTTAGTTTCTTCTTGTCTACACACGAACAGACATTATCAACAATGCATAATAGTTGCTTATCTAGTTGGAAAAAATGATATTTGTAGAAAAACTGTGCTTAATAGCCATAAGGACAAAAATCGTTCTTGTTCAAAGTGCTAGTAGCATATCAATTATTTATTTATATCAAACGACAGGATCTACGATAGTTACCATGTAGCCCATTAGTTCACTTCGGACTTCACAGAGGGGAGGAACATCAAGGTCACAAAAAGTCGAGGGGGAGGGGGAACAGAAGAGAGTTTCACAGATGCAAAAGACAGACAGACACAGAGGTAGAGAAAAAAGTAAAATGAGAACTATGGAAATGGTCGAATATAACGTAGAGTGGGGTCATGGTAGTTAGAATTCAGAAGTCAACTGCCGGTTTATTGACTTTTGCCGTATGAGTATACGTTGCCCAGGATGCACCCCTATGTTAATTATTATCGCTTATAACAAAGGTAGGATCTTAGCATGTTTTTCATGCGAAAATACACAAAGACGAGCGTAAATAGAGAATTTAAATGAGCATTTAAGTAGGAAAATATCAAAAATGCTTCAATACGGGCAAATCTGCAATAAGTATGTCCATTCGTAGTGTTTAGGGTGTCTTTTAAATTTAAATACTTTCCGAATGTCATTTATCTGTGATTGGAATGATTTTCAACCAAGGAGACCTACGGGTTGTGTATTAGCAAAAAGACACAGAGCATACTCTCCATTATACTGAATTATAAGAGTTGGCCACAAAACCACCACCCATGTCAGAGTTAGTCTGGAAGATTACACGCCACCATGCAGGTTTAATGGACACAAAGAAAAGAATAATATGTAGCGAACATGACAAATGAACTCATTATCCCATGCTGGTTTAGAGGACTGTGGTTACCTAAGTAAACTTGTTATTTGTTTTCGGCCTTGTGATCTGAATGGTTACTGGTCAATATTTCTACCCTTGAAACATCAAATGGCCTCAATTCCCCTTCAAATGTACTTGCTTCATCCATAAGATGCACCTCAATAAATAGCAATTTAGACCAACCTTCTCACAAAAGGCTTGATCTGTAATGAGTCGACTTCCTTCTAATTGATCTGCTTCTGTTTACTGCCATTTCTCTCGAGTTTGCATATCTTAGTGTCAAACTGAAAATTAAACAAACCATCGGCTATTCTTTCCTTACTACATTTTGTACCCTGCTGTTCGATTAAGCATGCATACTTTATGAGTAATCGTAGCGCATACTCTAAAATGATGGGTTTTGAAGCGGTAGTTCCGGCAAAAAGGGCGATTGGCGTAACTTGGCAATTAGTTCTGAAAATTTCTTTGTGTTTGTATTCCTACTTTGTGTAGTTCACTATCGAGTTAATGCGCTCTCAATCTTTAATTCAGTTCCAAATGACTCTTTCTCGTTGATAGATTACTACCAGCTCCGAGTGAGTTTAAATCTGAACGTAGCACAAGTTAGTTGTTCGTTGAATATCAAAATCTCATTTAGTAGTAACGACCCCCCTTGTTGACTGGTGTTAGTCCTCTCATCTTAATTTATTTTGCAACCATGTGTAGGTAAATGAGATTAACAAAGATTCATATAACTGCTGTTCATTCAAGATGACCTCTACTCTCACTTGCACTAAACAGCAGTGACATACTGTCCTAAAACACGTAGTGATATCATCTATATTATGAATGAAGAGGAATTGAAAGCACAAAGGCTCTTTAGATCCCGCAAATTCCTCGGTAAAGGATGCTACTCTTACGTGTTTTCCGTAACTTCCACCAACCCTTACGATAGGGGAAAATCCTATGCGTTGAAGCGATATTTCCCTCGAGAATCCTCGCCTCTTTATTGCGCCAAAAAGGAGTACAACATTCTCAAAAGAATCACCCTAGATCCTTGTGCATCGTCTTTTCTGCCTAAATTGTACTACGCTTTCGCGATCCATGATTCACCTGCGTTAGTGATCACGGAAGCAATGGGAATTACAATTGATGACATTGTAAAAATAAATGGTCCCTTGACAGAAGTACAAGCAAAATTTTACTTGACTGAGTTGGTCTGCGGCTTAAAATACCTCCACAGCAAAAGTATCGTCCACTTGGAGTTAAAATCTAATAATATTTTAATCGCAAAAACTGGACATACTTTAATCGTTGATTTCGATCGTTCTTATGATTTAATGGAAAGTGATCAACCTCCAATGAAATGGGATTTTATCGTAAATCTAGCCTATGCGGCCCCTGAAATTGCAAGCAGACTTGTGATTACCGATAAAGCCGATATTTGGAGCCTTGGTGTATTGACGGCGTTTCTAATTGGGAAATTTATTCGACCGAAGAAAATGGATAGAGATAGTGAGAAACAAGCGGCGATAGCGGGTCGTTGGGAGATTGATGGATTTTCTAGTTTGTCAAGGGATTTGCAAGACTTTTTTACTCAAGTTTTCATTTTTAATTACCTCGAACGACCAAGTATTGAATCACTTCAAAGTCTCGCATTTTTTAAGGATGTCAATTGGAATGAAGTTGAGCAACTTAGGATTAAACCACCCTTTTCAGCTCTCCATCTGAGAACCTTTATTAAGAAAGGGAAAAGAATTTTTCCTTCGAGAAACCCCACGCTATTGCGGTGCCTTTTCAGTTATCATATGCCTAAAATTGCTGGCAATCAATCTGAACATACAAAAAATTCAGAAGGTCAACGCACTTTGGTTCTCATTACACCAGTTGTGAACAATTATGATTTGACAAGAGAAGTAGCATCAACTGCACTGCGAAAATTTAACTTCATCCACCCACTTTTGAACTACCGTCGACTGCTATTAAAGTAGGATACCTCAATTTAATAAAAGATTATTGATTATTTATCATGTGTTACTACGTATAGCGAGACAACAAATGCCATTAGGAGGGAAAGCGCCTGAACTCAGTATTTAACTAAGTCGATTTCTCAACATTGTCACACTCCCGAGAAACAGCTCTAATTTATAAAAATCGTAACGAAGCCCCCTTTTGGAACTGCACTATCTCAAATCCTGCGCAGTAGTAGCATTGGCGGTATGAAGTAATACTTCCAACTATGCTGCTGATGCAAGATTTAAATATATTTAATTTTATTTTTGAATAAAACTGCCAAGTACGTGGGAATCTACTCTCGTTTGAAGTCACATTGGACGGAAAATTAGATCTGTTCTTCTTTTGTAAATAGTTTAAGTTGATAAGTAAAATTCTCATTCATCTTAGTTAGAAATGAACTCTTTGAAAGCTTATGAGCTAGGTTGTAAAATTTTATACAGAAAGGAAATCCTACTCCAAGGTAACCTCGACTCTGGCGAGAGGGAGAGAGAGAGAGAGAGAACAGGCTGGTCCAGACTGGACTTATGTTGACGTATGTCTAGAATCTATTTATCCTATTGTCCAAGGATTATGATTAGTGTATGGTGTGCGATAGACTTACCTCCACGTGGTGCATCCTGGGCAACGTATACTCATACGGCAAAAAAGTCTATAAACCGGCAGTTGAATTCTGACTTCAAACTCCCATCACCCCACTGGATGTCATATTCGATCACTTCCACCATACTTACCCTACCTTTTCTCTGCCTTTGTGTCTGTCTGTCTTTTTAACATCTTTAAATATTCTTCTGTTCAACCCTACTTGACTTTTTTCGATTTGATGTTCCTCTTCCTCTGTGAAACCTGAAGTCAACTAAAGGGCTAATGATAACTATCATAAAGCCTGGCATTTGATAAAAATAAATATGATTGGTGTATAACTTTGAGCCAATCATCGGTATCTACCGGTATTTTTGAAAGCTATAATTGGCCACAAGAAAGACTATTGACCGCTGTTGATGACTTGACATTAACAGCTCACTTCTGGTGTGATATTTTACCTTAAATTTCTTATCAGCATCATTGCGAGGTAAGACCAGTTTGTTTGGCCTACTTAATCAGATAAATATCCCTATATCTTCCCTTAATATATTATACACCTCAAATTTTTAAGTGAGTTAATAGTCTACTCATTGTTTAAAGCAGTAAGTTTGACTCCCACAAGTCATATGGAAGTAACTACAAAGACTCTTTGACTTGAGTACATTTTCGAGATGATTTCATTTCTTTACTCCAACCACCATAACTTAATTGTAATGTCTGAAATGCTTTTAGTACCCTCTTTGCATAACTTGATTCATGTTACCCCAGTTCCAGACTGTGCTAAATTCGAGATATTCATACTTATCATCCTAAATTAACAATTTTGCTCATACTTTTTAACTATAATAATAAATTGATTTATTTATACTGCTGCTTATTTTATTACTGGATACTTATCAAAACATGGCGCTCAGATACCATGGATTTCTTGGTCAACTCTGCTAGCTACTGGGAGCGGCGTGAACATTGAATAAACTCTAGTGACCACTGTCTTGTTGATAAATTTATTACGATTTGGAGAATATGTAGATTAACTGAGGTAGCATGTGCTACCACAGAAATATTTATTTATATCAAATGGCAGGCGGTTTGATAGTTATCATTGGCCCTTTAGTTGACTTCAGGCTTCACAGAGGGGAAGGAACATCAAAGTGAAAAAGTCGAGAGGGGTGGGAGGGGGGGGGGAACAGAAGAGTGCTTCAAAGACGAAGGTAGAAAAAGGTGAGGTGAGGTATATAAGGGGGAAAGAAAGTGAGGTGAGTATATGCTATAAACTCTGATAACATGCACAAAATCTCGCCCATAAACCTGTGATAAATATCATTAACATGAATATTAGTTCAGTGCACTGGAAGTGTACTGGTCACCGTTTTCGTCAGTGGGCGGCATGGCCAACCGCATAGATTAACTGTGTCTAATTGAATTGCCACTTTTCGTTTATCTCTCTGGGGCGGGCGGGGGGGGGAGGAGGAGGAGAAGGCCACTCCGTGCCCAAGAGAGGCTTTCCTGAATGGACTTGGGATTTATTAGAAGAACGTACAACGTAGAAGAATACTCCTCCATGAAATATACCAAGTCAATGACGCAAGAATTTGAATAAAGCATCCCTCCTGTTTCTGCAATATGTTTACTTACCTCGTTTTACATCAAATTGGGATATTTAGCCGTTCTTCTTATTCAAATGTTCCTTATGTTTAAATCTTAGAATTTTTAACTTAGCCATCGGGATTAAAACCATGTAGAGTCATGGAAATGCCTTAAAAACTTTAAACTTTCGCTAATTCGCCAACGTCCTGCTTTCATTACGTACTTCTCAACCCCAGGGTCTTTAAATTGCGGTAGAAGGGACATTATACTAAATGGCATCCTTTATGTTAGTTATCATTAGCCCTTGAGTTGACCTCGGGTTTCACAGAGGGGAGGAACAGAGGAGAGATTCGCAGAAGTAAAATAGACAAATAGGCACATAGGTAGAGAAAAAGGTGAGGTGAGTTCTGTGAAAGTAGTCGATTATGACATACAGTGGGGTGATGGTAGTTTAAAGTCAGAAGTCAACTGTCGGTTAATAGACTTTTTGCTGTATGAGTATACGTTGCCCAGGATGCACCACGTGGAGGTAAGTGTATCGCGCAACTCCAGGTAGAGTGGATAGAACAATTAGCCTTGCCGTCGAAAAACCGTGATAATAGATATCAGCTTTGCAGAAATCACTAATTTATCAGCCATATTGGGAGCAACGAAAATTGGATTTAGGAAGAAAGCCCACAAACCAGGCGATATAAATAATCGATAAATCATAATAAAAATCGAAATCAGAAATCAGTTTAAGCTATTTAATTCTTATTACTTCATGATTAGTTTCGACCAATGTGCCTTTCGAGGAAATTTCGCTTCATCAAATATTGCACTTCCCCCCCTTACCTTGGTGTGAGCTTAGAACTTATGGAGTACATGGGGGACCAACTATAATCAAGAAATTTGTGAGCAAAAAATTTTTGTGGTGTCGTCATTTAACCAGTGTCAGTGTTAAGAAAATTAAGGTCGGAAGTCAGAGGGATTTGATAGAAATACTTAATTTGATTTGTGTAAACTGCAAACTAGAGCTTCTATGCTTATATTTCTTGCTCTCTGTGAGTTATTAGAGAGGCATGTCATTTTGAAACAGACATGCCCTACACATAGACATGAAATAACAAAGAAATGAAAATAACTTTATTTTGATGACAAACGCTCCATTCGGAAACCCATGGAGTCTATGCTGTATTTTGAGTAAAGTCTACTATTACGGTAATTGTGATTTCGGTTGTTTTGAGGGCCTATAGAGTCTAATAAGGCTACAACGGCACTTAGAATATCGTGATCTGAGGATAGGCCAGTTTCTGTTGCGGAAAGGGATTGGGGTACAGCTCGGGAGTCCATTGTTTCCCCCACACCTCTCTAAATCGGCGTGTGTAGAGCACAAGGAAAGTAGTTTTGGCACTGCGAAACAGATGCTAGTGAAAATCGATAACTCAGGTCTTATCAATGCAAGTTGGTCACAAGTAGAGTTAAGGGCAGTGGTTACAGTCAGTTTTGGCAAGCTTTTAAAACATAATTTTGACTAAAATGTTCAAGATGCATAAAATCATAAAAAAATTAAAACATAAATTGAAAACTATCAAGAGAAGTATTTGAGAAACAATTCTTCCAATATTGAAGCTAGCTTTTGATCTTTCTGCAGTGAACCCCATGAATAAGTAACCGATGACTGCATGAATCAGATGCCTTATATTTAGATTTCATTATCTGATACATCGAGAGGTTGCATGTTTACATACATACACGAAAGTACAATGCATGAGATTCAATGAAAATGTGTACAAAAAAGAGGCTCAAGGAGGTGAAATGCATACTCCTATTTCGTCTTTCTTGGTGTTGGAATACTCGAGGCTCTTGAACATAGCGAACCTGCTGTGCTTACATGGGAGCTTGCTACACTGTTTGCTCGACCTAAAAAAATAAATGAAAGGGAATGGAAAAAAGAGGAATTTGAAATATGTCTTCATTTCATCATTCACAACTGGAGTCATTTTTTTTCCTAATGGATTAATAAATTCTCTTTGAACCTTAGGTCATCCTATTTCAAGTACAATCTGATGTATTTTTTTCTGTGCATACTTTTTTATTTGCCTTTGCTTGCATTTCTTTGTATCTCACCAGAAGAAAAGGAGATTGTTGCAGGTGCTTCAAGTTTGTTTTATTCAGTCCAATTTTGTGGGCATAGATTAGCTTAAACTAATTGAATATTTTTTACCTTAATTGGGACTGTATTTTTTTCATTCTACTGTTTTGTTTAAAAGGAGCAGCAAATACATTTTTGGGAATGGAGAAGAATTAAATTTGGAGATGACCTAGGGTCTAAAGAGAATTTATTAATCCATTAGGAAAAAATGACTCCATTTCGTAATACGGCTAAATGGTAATCTAATGCCAGGCGATTAAGGTTAGTCAGATGGCCACACACAAAAGGTGGCAATGAATGCTGATGGAGTGGAACTCACTTCTGCGAGACCGAGGTCACGAAATCGCTACCTATTGGTTTACATCCATTGATAGAAAAGGTGTTCCTTAATAGATCATTTCCACAGTCCCCTACCTCAAATCAAGTCAAGTGCTGTGACCGCTTCCCTTGGTACAATTGTAAATTAACTTTATCAAATTTGCTTTATTTATCTAAATCCATGAGAGACATTACCCATTCGTCCTATATAACCGCGTTCCTTATAGATTGCATATCACTAAGTTCTTAACCTTTAACGAGAAACCTTGTTTGGATATCATTAGTGCAAAACTAAAACACTTTTATGACTTGGTCTTGTGTTGAAATGAGTCCATTTTAGAATAAAAAGGACGAATACTGGGTCGCGGAAATATCAAATTGAAAAAATATAATTTGTTATTTATCTAAATTAGAGGCACCACTATTTAAGGCTGTTTGAAACAATATTCATGCTTTAGCAGCTTAGCCTTATACGAGAGTTTGTTTACAATAGTGACAAACTGAGGTCTTTGGATGGTAATTGCACAGAAAGAAAAAAATAAGACGAAATTAGTATGCATAAAAATTTCTAACCTGCTGCAAAAAGACTGTTAAGTGTAAGGTCTAAATGCGTCAAGTCCATCATAGAGAACTCTTCGCCTCCGTTAGGGGTACCCCGGGAACCAACACTGTCATAGGTATCATAAGTATATTTAATAGCCCTTCGAACACTTGATGTGACACTACGACCACCAATTGAAGAAGCGTACACACTGGAGGCTCCATCATCGCACACACTTCCACGAAAGGAGTTAGAACATGAGGCAGACGCAGATGATAACCGAGAGGTACTATTCGAATTTCTTGTTCTCTTCTTACCAGATGTGACTTTCTTCAGAGTCTGAGGGGCGTCTCCCAATATAAGACCCCTAGGGAAGAGTTTCCAAGCGACCTACACGAAGAGGGATATAAAAAATAACAATGGTTATGCTTTCAGCAGATCAGAATTACATACAGCTATAAGCATTTAAAATTACATTGAACGATGCGCCAATTTGAAATGTTTAATGGAACAATTTGGTACATTAGCATCCTAGTTTGAATGTAGAAAAATCATTGAAAAATGCCTCCCCCCTCCCGCCGTTACCCCCTGCTCAAAAAGCACAATTGTGTCTCGATTACTGATTTAACTCACCTTATGATAAATCAGCAAATATATTCATAATATTATTATCAATTTTATACTTTCTCTAAAATTTCACTCCGATTTTCGCTCTTTTCCGTTTTACTATCGAATTTTATCTAGCATACGATATAGTTTTCCAACATCAAAGAGACCCTACTAAAACTTATTTTGGGGTTTTTCCCTTTTATATTAAAATAGCATCACAAATGAAGCTGTTTCGTCAATTCACCAGAAAGACCATGAAGATTGAAACGATTCCCGTGGTACAAGAACTTCGTTAATTAAACCCCGTTTGTTGAAATTCTCCAATTTCTCCTTTATGCTAGAATTTAATTTTGAGACAATTGGAAAGAAGTACATCAGGTCTAACCATAGTATTAGGCATCCTGGCTCGAAGAAAATTTAAATCTATTATTAGCTACATATTTAAGTGAAGTTTCTATTTAAACCAAAGAAACGAATGGCAATTACAATGTAACAAAATGAAGGCCATCAAAAATTTAAAACCTAATTTTCCTTGCCGTGGGAAATACATAAACAAGAAACAACTAATTTAAGTCATTACAAGGATAAGAAAATTACTTAATGTGGCATCACATTTACGCAGAATAAAAACGATTTCCATAGGTCAAAACTGTTTAATTTCATGTATGTATGTATGTGTATGTGTGTTTGAAGTAACTAACCTTTAGGCCACCAGAAAGGAGAAAAACATTTTCGTAGCCTCTTTCTACAAGAACAGTGGTAACTAGAGGAGCTAAAGTTTCGTCTTCGTCATAGCAAATTATTATGTGGCCAGGCTTGTTCTTATAAGCCAACATCTCACGAATTTCGAAATTCATACAGCGAGATAGCCTTGTGTAGGGATAGTTAATAGCTGAAAAAGGATAATATTTCATAAGATTCATCAGCGATTTTTCATTAACCTTCCAGTAAAATGAAAGGCAGTTACCTCGGATGATATGACAAGAATCGAATTCGTCTTTGTCTCGGACATCAAGAAGTAAATAAGGGCAGTTATTCTGTTCTGATTTAGCAATTCTAGAGCCTTTTTTTGGTTGATCCATCTCATTAATATCACACTCCCCAATTCCATGAATGACACTAAAATAATATAAAAATGCTAAAAAATTAAAATTGAAGTAAATAAAGACTTATTATGTAAGTTCGGTTAAATTGGTAATAACAAAATCTTACGATTCAAGTGTATGACGTCGATGTGTTTCAAAATCAGCACGATCACCGACACAATCATGTTGCTTTTCAATCTTAGAGTCATCTTAAAAATAAAACTAGACAAAAACTCTTACCATTGGTTTCATCATCAGTTCCACAGTATTTCTGATCGGTTGAATTATTTGTTTCGGCCACTTGTATTACTAAATGAACAAATGTTGTCATTTTCATTCTTCTAAAAATTTCATCCGATCTAATTTTAAAATCTTTTAATAAGCTTGAAATTGACAAGCCTACTTTCACTGCTCTCGCCTAATTTCCTCAAATATCTTGAAAGACTGGCTCCGGAATCAACAGATGCAAGAACATCGGCATAACGAGGGTTTTTTGGAATAGCTTTTTGTAAAGGCTTAATTAACATAAAATTAACAATTTATATTTACATCAACTTTCTTTTTTCTAGCTACTAGAGGCATGCTCGGTTGTTATGGTAACGAAAACCAACATATAATTTTGGAAAAGACACATCTTAAGGTCATTTAATTGGCCTTAAATAATAATGTATATTTTAACAATTCTTTGCAACAACAATAGATCATGTATTTTAATATAAAACACAATTCTTTAATTAATTCTCACTTTTAAGTTTTATATATTCCGTTTCATTTAAGCGAAACACAAACGCATTTATGTCATTATGCGAAACTTTACTTGGCAACAATATGCCATAGTAAACAATTATTCATGGAAATGAATCTCATTAAATTTTCTTTATTCCGTTTCCAACAGATGTTAATAATCCCAATGGTGGCTCTCTTGATTTAAAAATAGGAATTTGATAGGCATGATTATATATATATATTACCTCTCTAATATATATGGTTTGATCGAAAGAAATGAAAAGCTCGAAATAGATAACGTCAACGTCTCGTAATATTCTTCATTGCACTCTAGACGTGTCAGTGCAAAATTTAATTTTTAAAAATCATTGAATTCTTTCCTTTGACGAATGTAATAATTGATTTTGTATTTCATGTGACTGTATAATAAAGGCCCTTTACACCGATTTTGCTTATGTAAACTAATTTGAGATACGATATGTTATGCTGAATCGATTTAAAAGTAATATGCTTTGCCAATGAAAAGAAACCTTTGTTTTCCCCTCCCCCTTCCTAAAATTTTGGCTTTTATATTGATACGCTTTCAGAGTAGCTTGGTGAATAAGGGTCTGGTTTTTTACTATGGATTGAAACTTGCAAATAAAATTTCATTAACCTGGAAGGCCGAATGAATATATTTGGGCTTTCAACCTTCTAGATTTAATTGATCTTATTTAGTTTACAAGATGAAGAAAAGAGAGAACTTACCTTAGTGAGATCTATTGAGTCCAAAGTGAAAATTTAGGAGAATGATGGAGACTTATGTATATTAACATGTTAGGTTAGTGAAGGTGGTAGTGCTGTCGAAAATCACTCAATGGATTTTTTCTTTGAGGGTAGTCACTTTAAGGAGTTTGAGTTTTTTTCACCTCTATAATTTAAATGAGTTCGGTTGGGAGTTCAAGGCAACGACTGTTTGTGTTGTTACAGAGCAAACGTACACAAAATAAGCGGAGAGAAAACTTCAACGTACGCTACATACTGAATAGACACTAAGTAAGCAGCTACAAAACTTCTACTACCCTCAATGGTTGTCATGCTAGCACATATTTCCCCAGAGATTTTTTAATAAGCTAAGCTTGATGTGAAATTTTGTGGCCTTCAACTACCGTCCCATTCATACTCAATTTACTCGAACCACTATTACTACTACCCAGATTGAAATAGACATAATTTCTGCAATTTTTTATATACCTATCGAGTTTGACAAAGTACATATTAATAATTTTTCAATGACATCACACATCAGTTTGCACTGATTGGTGCACATAAAACTATTTATTCTTTGTTACTTAAATAACTATAAATGTCGTAAAAAATTTTCTTCCACCATAAGTGACCAAATGAACCAAGGGTCAGGAATCCAAGTACTTTTTTTCACATCAGAGATCACAGGTTCGATGTCCACTATTGTAAATCCAGTGAGCAGAATGTCCAAACGCACAGGTTTCTTATTAGAGGAACTCTATGATACCACTCCTCTATTCAAGGTTCAATTAACATCAGAATTCACTCATTGTTACATAAATATTTAAATTAAACAGGGGTTGATAAATGCCAAAAATAAGTGCGTAAAAAGACACGCAGGAAAATTTAGCTTCACAAACAAGGACTGAAAGAACTTGACGCAAAGAGTCCGGACTCAGTTACCACAATAGATGCAAGTTATGTTTCCTAGTTGCAGACAAAATCCACTGGAATGTTGCATTGTACGATAAGGGAGAAAAAATGAGAAATTAGCAAAATTTATGAAGGGAATCACAGACGACCACGCTTAAGACACTTGAAAGCAATGCGAATAGATGGAGGTATTAGGGGACTTCACTGAGACTCCGTAGATGATAGAGTTCTGAGTAAGCAAGACATGTGAGACAAAACAAGGAAACATTCACCTCAGAATTAAAGAGTAGGGGATAAAAAATTCTCAAACAAGGGAATTTGAAATCTCGGGGTTAATTAGAAGGCTTCGCTAATACTCTGTAGATGACGTATGTTTGCATCAAAGGGAAGATCGAAATCAATCGATGACAGCCTACTGAGAGACTGAAGAGCATCATCAAATCCTGCAAAAAAAGGTGTAGAGAGAGAGATGGTAAGGAGAAAAAATGACCGCAGTACCTCCTGCTCGAGGCTTACCTGTGGAAGACACGTAGCTCCATGGATGGTACATATATTGGACAATAAGTGGACTGCGGAGTACCAATTTTAACCAAGAAACCAACCGATGGGTGCTAAAGAGGACAAATAATGAATGTGACCGATGGATGTTCAACTAACTACATAATCCACCTTCAATCTTATCATACACCACTCAGTATTCCCAACACTCCTATCACGGCCACTGGCTTTCATTCCTTATGTAGCTATGTAGCAAAGCATTCAATGCCCACTGGCCAATTAACTGCTTTACCGAAGCTTCATAATACATTAATCCATTAATTCACATAATTATTCTAACCTAATTTAAAGCAGTTTAAATAAGGATGAGAATTTATAATTACGTCTCCAAGTCAGGTTGAACAAAAATTTTGCGCCAATGTGCGTCCGCATGGACAACCCACCGATATCAATGTACTCCTGTTGTCCCCGGAACGCGAGTTTTTCAATACCTTTTGTGCATGTTCAACAGAACCCCAGCACACAGAATTTACAATATGTTATCATCTTACTTGAGACCTATGCACACCAAAGCCTTGAATTGCGTCGCTTCGCTGCGTTTGTACTTATTGAACTCTTGCAAGACCGTACCCATTGAGCTTAGTAGATGCTGAAATTACAATAATTGAATAGGAACTCGGAAATTGAGAAAATTAGACACTTTCAAAATGTTTCCAACCTGTTTCGGAGTAACAACTTTTCCGCCGATGATATCTAGAGCAAAACTCTCAGATAGCTTACGAGCTGGAGTGTCATTGAAAGATCTTCCATTCTATAAGGAAAAGAAAGCAATTAAAATCAAAGTCCCTATGGGAAGGGACTCAAATCGTCAGAACGAACCGTTAGAATATAGTACTTCAGAAAGATAGCCCAAGCTGAGCTTTGAGCATTCCTCTTTCGCAAAATACGAGCTCGCCTATCTTCCTCTGATTCAACGTAGTCATTTCTTTCTCTTGATTCCTCATCGGAGCCATCTTTATCCGCACATTCACTCTCCGAATCGTCGCTAGAGTCAGCAAATTTGTTGGGATAACTAGGGGCCTCAAGTCGATTTCGGGAGAAACAGCCAATCGTAGCAAGAAGAGAGCCCAGAAAAGAGGGTCCTGTACCATCGGCGTTCATTCCTCGTTGTTTAGTTGCATGAACGCGTGATCCGTGCTCTATCAGGACTTCGAGAGCTGGGCAAAACTGTTTTCGAACAGCCAAATTCAAATCACGCTCAGCCTTCACATATTCAGGCTAATTTGAATAGAAATATGGAAGACATTTCAAATACAGTTCTTATTAAGTCATTATAACCATGTGCCTTCCTCCGATAGTCATCAATTAAATGAACCCGAAAATATTAGAACCCCCAAAATATCAACTTGCTCTGGAACAAAGACCAGCCCAATGTTTCCATTCGAAAATTTTTGGATTCATATTATTTGATCTGAAAAAGGAGAGTTTTCGATCTTCTAATTAAAATTTAACAAAAACAAAGAAACATGCCATTTTGCAAATACTGGACAAAACAATTTTAATGAGCTCAATGAGTGAATTGCGTTTTCTTGAAAGTAGGCAAGTCAACAGGAAATTTCCAATAGAAGTTAGACAGAGAAAATTTAATACATTGAACAAAGGTGAACATAATTGTATGGTAAAGTTAAAGCACATGGTGAAACGCGCACACACACTCTTTGCCAAAACATCTCCGGCTATTCAAATTTGACGAGGAAACATAGGAAATAGAAGAAAATTTCTAGAACTTATTTTACGTCTGCAGATTTTCGAGATTTTATCTGAGCACCAAATTTATACAACTTAAGTTCATTGTTCAATTGATGGAATGTCCTAAATATTTAACATGAGTCAATTCTTGCATCAAAGCACTATGGGGTTGGAAAATACTAAAAAAGATTGGTTTTCGTAAAAAAAGATATGCGGTGTGCTAATTTTTCACACAGCCTTTGTTTTTTTCACTAAAAAGGTGAACATAACCATTGTATCTCACTTGAAAAATGCAAAATTGATTCAATTTTGTATTTTTCAGATGGAATCATAAGCAGAATTTCTGTCTGAGTAATTTAGAATGTCTATGCATGTTCAACTCCATGCACAACGCTAATTTCTACCTCTAAATTTGTAAAATCTCGACTAAAGTTAATTTCCCAACAAGCGTAACTCTCGACGAGGACTTCTAGTTCCCAACTTTGAAGGATAAGAATGAGAAAGGTAGTTACACAACAACGTATCAGAAAGTCCTTCACAGTACCGTATAAAAGTTTGATGTTGGTTACTTCAAAGCAATTTTCAAGAAAATTGATGAATAGTGAAAATACAAACTACGTAATTCCACGGAAACGCCCTTTCCCCCCTTTACTTTTCTCAAATAATAGTCCTGTTGATATACCTGAGCACAATATATGCTGGCTAATTCATAAATAAAAGTTGATATACCATACTTCTGGGAGGATCTGAATGGCAAGAAAACGAATTATTTGGGCTGGAAATTCAACGCAAAAACATAGTTCTGCTTATATTCAAGTCAATATTGGTTCACATAGTTGAATAAAGTGGACTTAGTGAGCATACGCAAAAAAAAACGATTTACCAATTGAAATTGGGTTTATCTTCTATAAATAATATGCTCACCCCTGAATCTCACACATTTTAACCTAAATTAGCCTCAATAGGAGGAACAACAAATCAGACTGATATTGAGCTGAGTGCTTCCAAAGTGCCTCTTCGTTGGAATTTTGAAAATGCTGAATTGCCAATCCCCCCCCCCCCCCCCCCCCCCCCCCCCCCACCTCCCTCCCCCCACCTCCCTAGGGTATGTAAGTCACAATGCAACACGATTGTAAGTGCCATCTCCTGTACAGCTACTAAGAGAAGGTAGTGAAGATTAGCAGGTTTTTCTTAGAATAAATAATGTAAGCCTCAAAATACGTGTCCTATTTCCACCTAGAGTAAAGCTAATGAGCTCTGGTGAGTAGAAAAAAAAACCCTTAGTGGAAGAAATTGTTCCTATTGGTGCGAAGTGAGTGAAAGTGTGGCGGACATGAACTCACTCGAAAAAAACATTGAGGTCAAATCCAGAGATTGAAATTTGGAGCACAGGGACATCAAAATGTGAACAGCAACAATGTACCCGAAATTTTGAATTAAAACTCTCACCACCCTAACTTATTCATTTCTGCTTAATTCCCACTTTTCAACGTATTCGGACAACTTTACTAACCTCATTACTTAGATTCTTACAATCAGAGATTCAATGCATGTTTAATAATTTAGAAGTAATAGCTACTAATTTCTATTCGCAAAAAAATGGCTTTAGTGGTTAAGACAAGATAAGCATATGAATTATTATCGTTATGACATCATGTTTAGGTGCTTTGCAATCACATGAAATAAGCTGAAAAAATAATTGCTCACATAAATTTATTTCAAAATGGGAAAGCAAAGCAATTAAAAGAAAGAAAGTTGCCAAAATCTGATCTTTTGCCTAATTGTATTATTGAACAAGTGCTCAAAATTATCGCTTGTGCTCACGCTCAATAAACCTCTTTCCGATTGCAATTCATCCTCAATTTTACCGTTCAAATTATGATTATTACCAAATGAACGGGGCGCCATTTTGCTCCAGGCACTGTGCTTTCTTCTAAAATCAAATTGCACGCCAATTCAAAATATTGGACCGGACAAATTCATGTGCAATAAGTAATTCCACTAATGATTACTATTACTATAGTAAATGGAAAATATTACGCTCGCCATCTATTTAAATCCCGAGATAATAAATAATAAGCATTTTTTATCGCATTACATCAGTAACATATTAATGAGAAATCACAGTTTTATAAAACTTCATGAGTAAATAAGAAAGAGTAATTGTTAGAAGCTACTTGAAAGTTATGGGAAAACACAAACATTCATCAACTGTCTGGGATGTAATACTTTTTTGCTTTTGACGTGCTTACTTCTCAAATGCTCCCCATGAATGTGTGTGTACCAGCATTAATATTGGCACTGTTTTTGGAGACCACGTCTTGTGCGCTGCTCTAGCGCGTTTTTTGACGTTTTAAATGTATGCTCTTGTTCCCTCTAAAGCTCTCATTAACCGAAATTTTCAATCATTGCACGAAAATAATAATGAACGTAAGTTTTAAGATAGAACATACAAATCAATTCGCCGGACAATATGCACTAAGAAATATCGATTTGCTCAAAAATTCGGGTAACGAATTAGGACATTGGAATCTATGGCATGTGAACCTCACGTTGAGTAAATACTGTACAATCAGAATTAAAAAAACTCCAATGGAATCGGATTGTTTGATAGTTTGACTTTCAGTGTCCTTCAATGATTATCTTTATGCCAACTGTAATCTATTTAACGCTAACGTATTGCATTGACCTTCAGCACTGAAAAGCGGCAAAATATGTTCCTTCTCGGAGGTCAAAATAGAGCAAAAAGGGTGGGAGACGAGAAATGTGCAGAGGTGAGTGGTCAAGGTCAGTTTTCAACTAGATTGAAGGTTATCACTAGTCGAATTGGAGGCGTCTTCACTAAATCAAACATTCTCTGTAAATAAAGACAGCCCTAACGTTCGCATGTTTAAATACCAGAAGTTGAGCTGTTGGTTCAAGAGTGAGTTAATTTTCGTGACGTTTCGGAGTTCCTAGACAAGCTATTTTGACAAGTTTCAATATTAATGAAGAAAGTAGATAATTAATTAGAATAAAATTGATGTCAGAATCAGATGGCAAACTTGAAACGAATCTCATTTAATAAACAAATATTATCCATTATATACCGAGTCTAAATACAAATCGCTTTTCTACGTCAATTGATTCAATGATTGGAAACTTTCAGTTTAAAGTGTATAATGATATTGGCAATGATGCACAAAAAAAATATTCCCTCTAATCATAACCAGTGACTCCATTCACTGAAACAAATAAAAAACAATAAGGTCATCTAAGGAGTTATGAAGGAACATCTTTCCGTTTTCTCAAAAAAATATCAGACTTTATTGAAAAAAGGTAATTCTTATGAAAAAGCCGAGAGTTACTTCGATTTTTTCGTAGCGAATTTCTAAACGAAATCCTGGAGACGAAGCATCTAAAGTACCCTATGGCATATTCGAAATACCTTTATGATGGGCATACATCAAGTATATAACTTACATCACGAATCTTTCCAGAACGATATTCCAATGGCATTCGTCCATCACCCGGTTGTCGAACATTCTCCAAATCACTCATCAAAGGCTTTGTCTGGACTTTCTTTAAATATTCCTCCCGAACTCGACGAAGCTTTTCAGCTTTCTCCAGCACAATGTCAATTGCGATTTCAAAATTGGCCCGAATATCTCCCCAATGGTTGCCCTTGGCCGCGTTAGGTTGGCTCAAGTCTAACAGAAAGTTGCAAAGCAGACTAATCAGACTTAACTCTCACACTAAAGTTCACAAGGACTTTCAGAAAAGTATTTTCCAGCTCCGATTTTGGGTAATTGGCTGAAGTCAGTTAAACCTGTAACGATTCCTAGAATAGGTCAGATTTTGTACCCTATCTTATATTAGGAAAACGCCCACTTTGTTCTGGCCTGTCTGGAAATTTATATCAAGCTATCCCCCAAAAACACAATCCCGCTTGCACTTAACAAGAATAGGTGTATTCAGGTAAACTCCATTCTTCTGGCTTTGAGTATATTAAGGCTGACAGGTTAGCAGTCATGGGATGGGGGGAGGGGAGGGGTTATTTGTCCCAAAATAGAAGATCAGTTCCTCACAAATTTCGTTGTCAGAGCGGTCGGCTCTCTGAAACTCTCGTATCTGAGTCCATCAAGCGATGCTTGATTGATACACAGTTCATACACTGACTTCTTTTTACTTTTATGATTTCCAAGACAGATATGAAAATGAATCAAAGCGAGCACTTATGTAGGTAGGCATAAAGTTGTAGGGGCGAGAAAATGTGAGAAATACCAGGGAAACAAACTTACTCTTCTTCATCACCGCAGTTTTGGTATGCTTCTCGGTTTGCTGTCGCATATTGGCTCGACGTCCTGCCAACTGAATCGTCGCAAAAACTTGAAGCATAGTCAACGCTCGAGTGATTAGACCTTCCGATTTCTGTAAAACGTGTGGTGATAGAGAAAGCAAGCGGTTAATGTACTTAGTTGCAAAACTCTGAGAGCCAAACTTGTTAGCGTTCCTTCTGCGTTCGTGATTAAAATAAGGACAGGAAGTAAAAAGAAAGCAGTGGATGAGCGAAAGCGATCCTAGTACTTTGCTTTCACTCCCTCTCTATTAAATACAGTCCGACCACACCCAGTTGTCAGTTGGATCATTTGAATAACTCCTCTTTCCACTATCATAGCAAAGAACAAACAGCGCCTCAAAGCCTTTTTAACATCCTCTACCTATCACCATCCGAATCGCCCTTCATGAGTCGCAACGCCACCCACTCCCCCCCTCCTTTATCCAAATTCATACATAATAATTCAATTTCTTTCGAAATTATCCAATAACGCTGTGTTCCTAATAACTTGTGGTCTTCTCGCTCAGAAAAGGCTGTTAACTATTAACCTTGTGAATCATGTAAGTTCTGCNNNCCCCCCCCCCCCCCCCCCACCCTCTTGAAGTAGACTTAGTTGGGATTAAAGCTACTTTATTGGTGAGGGTAGCGCTTCCTGGACTCAACACACTATTATTTCACGACCATTTTGTCACAACCCTCCCAAGAAATGTGGAGGCTTGGATGGATGCACCTCAAGTTCTAACGGTCGATAATCTCTTTCCATGTTGATCCAAGCTCTCCACTCAAATTAGTCCGCGTGAAGGAGTTTGTGCTTCTGTAATCAGCCGACAAGGTTGTTGGCCTATTTCCAATTCTTCAATAGTAACGCGCTTTGAAGATTAACTCTAGGCCACGTCCTTTTGCTTTTCATTCAAGGAACATGAGTAATCAACTCATACCAATACATGGCGTTTGAAATGTGTTTGATTTTAATCCACGTAGCCTATTATTCAGAGATGATAATGACAAATTAGAAAATGTAGCTTTCTTTTAAAATACTTAATTTGGTGACCCTTTGCACTTAAATGTGCAATTGAACTGCAATTTTGCCGCGGAGTGGAATTTACCCATTTCAGATGTCTATCCTAAGTTATGTGAAACGCCCCTTTGTAGCATCTTATTGTATAGCCATATCTCAAATGCCCGACTCATATTAAAATTATCAACTTTAGGCACCTAAGTCCCCTGTAAATGAATAAGAATCTTAAACATGTAAGAACAAAACAACTTTCGAATATTTCAATTTGGTATTTCTTGACTCATCATCTAGGTACAAAAAATGTAGTTGTAAGGTCTAAATAAATTTTCGTTGGGGAATACCACATAGGCGAGACAAGTAAATATTAAAGAAAGGATGAAAAATGAAAGAAGAGATCAATAACTATGAGGATTACAGCTGTGAGAACAGGGGCCCATCAGCCTTATTCGCTTAACTCCACTATGAGCAAAAGTGATGGCTGGCTATGCAGCCAAATCTACCCAATGCCACACTGAGCTCCCAGTTCGGCTTCCTCATTGGTTCACTCTGTGTGCAATGTGTGCTTCAGTTTGACCCAGCAAGATTGAGAACCTACATTTAACGCACTTGAGGCTGTGATTTAACATTGACTACCTGTAAAATCTTAATTGGCTTGAGCACATTGACTAGCAGGTTTACTGATTCTACCTCTATCCTTACTATCAATGAAAAATGGAAAGGTAAACCAGCCAACCACTTTTTTGCACCAAATATTGACGACTTCAACTACCCTCTTCATCCCTCCCTCAAGTTTTCCTCTCATTCATTCCCAATTTGCCTAATACTCACTTATACAAGCCAATCCTTGATTTTTTTTATTCCGTATCTTGCTTTCAAAGGCTAATTTGGTCTGACCCCTAAATTAGCTTAAGTTGGGTCAAAACTACCTTACCTTCCAAATTTGTAAATTACCGAGAACGTGTTAAATCTAAAATCATGCTTAGATTGATACGTATATCGTGGAGAACAACTGTGCATCAAAATGTTAATTAAAAAAATTAATTTTGTGGAGAGAGTTAATCTTCAAGTGGGTTGTTTTTATAAAAACACGAACGAAAAGTTTGAGAAACATTCTTTCGTTTTGGACCTTTTATACATCTTCTATTCTACTACAATAAACATTCGCATTAGAAATAAATACATAGCTTAAGATTGTTGATCAAAATGGAGATTAGACTCCAAGGTATGGCTCATTCCATTTTTGTAATAAGCTCTGAAATCGATCCCCTATTAGTCCCCGCAAATTTCTACCAAAACCACCTGAGTGCAAACCAATTGAATAAAGGTTCCAATTGGCAATTATAATAAAAAACCCGAATGCGTAAGGTATGAATCACACCAAATTCTGGCTCAGTAACAGAATCACAATAAGTTACTGATTCAGAGTTACAATAAATTTTGCCAGGCGGAATCAAAAAAAGTGATCTCACTAAAATCTCGATGTCCTTTAAATCCCATATTGCCTCAACCTTTTGGCAAGGATGGGAACATAGGCACTCTGATGAATGGGCCAGCAAGTATAGATTAACACTGATTACAAGAGGCGAAAATGGGAAAACTTGAGCTCAAAGTCGATTGGCTCAGAGGGTGGACGAGGACAGAAAGAATTGACCAGTAGGATTGCACGTGATGCCAGCGACGTGGCACTCCTACAGCTGCTTCTCTCTTGCAATTACCCAGCCTCATGCATCGAATTTGCTAAAAATAGCCCACGATCAAATTTAGTTATTCACAATTTAGTTACGGTCAAAAACCAACCTAATTAAATTTCAAATGAATACAAAACTCTCCAATCAACAACTTCCCACAAGGCATGTCATTCTCAAAAGATGAAAGAAACCAAGAGGTAAATTTGCTGCTTCTAATTCGTGACACATTAACTAACCGATAAACTCACTTGATTTTCAATTTCCTTCTTTGACTTTGAGAAGTAACTCGAAGATCGATCAAAAGAGCCCTAAATAGAGACAAAAAAGTTCTAATTTTGAAGTTGAAGATCTACATTAACGCGCGTGAAAGAAAATGCATTTGCGCTTAAAGCAGGTTTTAGGAATCAGGGGCCGATGAATAAGATGTGATTGCAAATCACACTTGAAGGGGGCCTGAGAAGTTCACAAACTTTGCGAAGTAAAATATGACATTGTGTCAATGATTCTGTATCTTTCCAAACATTCTAAATCCAAGACAACATGGAATATTTAAAATGAAAATTAAGCATTTATTTACACTACCTGAAGAGGCATGTGTCGAAATAGCTCAGATTAATATTTAGTAATAGCAATGTTTGTCCCTCAAATCTATAATGGCTCCACATCTCCAATCATCTTTTGTGTTAGATTAAATTGGAATGGGTTTTAATAAATATAATTTAAATAACTTTAGCCCACAATAATTGGGCTTTGTTATACTTAATATTAGTTCAAAACGCGAAGAGCACACATTTTAAATTGAATGAAATAAATCAGAAAATAAATGTTTCAGGTTCAAGAAAATCAAACTATCATTTTTTAAAGTCTCGTTCATGTTGATTCATATATAAAGCCCAAGTAAATTAATTGAAGGTGCTTAAATCAAAATCAGATAACCTCTGAACCAATATTATCTTGAACTCAAGTTATGCTATGGGCCATAGGTAGCATTTATCTTCTTAAAAGCCTCCACTACGCGTCCAGCAATAATTCCATGGCTTTGATTTATGATTTGAAAACATAATGCAGGCACGAATCGATGCTCTTTTTATTTTTAAAAAGGGAACTGAAAAGTACTATCATATTACTAAATTTATTATAAAATTTCGTTTGCAATATTACCATAGAAACACGAAAACCTCTGATCTGTCACAATAGCGTGACATCGTTTGAAAAAGAATTTTAAGTTTTAGAGGTGCATATTACAGCAAGCTGTTTTAACATCAACATTAATCAATTATTTGCCAAATTTCCTCTATTCATTTCAAATTGAATCAATTATCTGCAAAAAATTTCGTCATTTTTTTCAATGTAACTATATCTGTGAATCAACTACCGCGGGTCGATCCGATGTCATAGATTTCATTTTGATGATAGATACTCCCCGATGTCATTTCGATCTAATCCAATAAACTTAACTGATGCCAAAAGTAGATGCCGATTTGCTAAGTCTGCCTCACCAGACTTGTCGATCACGTGTTTGGTCTGAACCGACTGGGCTGTCTACAACTCACGATCACTTATGCTCTTTAAAAATTGTATCATTTTGTCACTATTTTATCAACTTCAGATTCAAGATCCTCTATCTTCCCCACTTTTATTGTCACTGCTATTTCTAAATAAAGCAATTTGGCAAAATTTGGAATTCTCTCTCTCCCTCACTTGGCAATCTTGCGCATAATAGTTGACAGCTAGCAGGTTATGAACAAAAGAAAGGAAAAATTTCTTCCAAAAAATGCTAGCCCTGTGGATAAAAATGTCTGAAGACGACACTAGAAGATTGCATCCAATGCCCCGGAAATTTCACCATGCAAATTAATATCGCAAAAGCAAAATATTGATAAAACCGTGGAGTTTAAATACAGGCACTGACTCCGACCCAAGAAAAAAGGGCGAATTGAAGCAAATGAAAAACGAAGGTATCATATAAACAGTCGGCTAAAATGTTCCTAATGTAGTCAATTCCATAGATTAAGAAAGTGTTTGTCATTTGCCACGATCCATTGCCTCAAAGCAAAAGAGGCAAGAAAAATTTCAATTAGTAAATTAAAATTTCAAGGGTATCTTTAAACGGGTATAGTCGAAAAAGGTTGAAATCGAGTAAACGCACCCGAGCCGTGCGAGGTCTCCGCCGCGACAAACCAATGTGATATCCACCTTCTCCATAATCCTGACCGCCTTCATCTTTTTCGTATTGCTGCCTACTAGAGACAGCCTTGCTTCCTTGATCCTGCTGGGATCGCCTAAAAGCCTCAAGGGCTTTTACAATGACAGAGTCAGGCGTCCCCTCGTCTATAATAACAAATGATAATAAAAGCAACATTCACAATAAAGCAAGTAACTTATAGTGTCGGGATTGAGCTCACCATGCAGGAAATCAATGAAACGCTCGAGGTCAATAATCTGCGTTTTCAATTGATTTACCAAAGCTTCATTCGTTTTAATCGGATTTGTGAGCTGCATCGATTGCAACAATTACTTATTTTGATCAATAAAATTTAAAAGCAAGTCAAATATGTTTCCAGACCTAACCTGATTTAGACCGGCGTTTACACGCTCCTTAATTTCCTCCTCCGTTAGAGAAGGAAACTCAGATGCATTAAGACCTAGGTGCTTTCCGAGCTCCTCAAGAACAAGCCGCTGCTTTTCAAGAATGCTTTGTGTCGGCGGTTGCTCAATTTCTCCTGACTAAAGTAAGAAGTCAATTGTTATTTTGCTCGAGAAGGTAGTGGGGATAGGTGATATTACATCTTATACCTTATAAGCAAACTGCTCCAAGTCGTTTAATTGGGATTTTAACTGATCAATGATAAAAGGCATATTTTTCTTCTGCTGATCTTCCAGGGGTTCATTGTTACCATCCTAATATGAATAATAATTTATGTGAAACAAATAAAGTTGTAATAAATAAAACAAATGTAAGAACTAAAATGTTGCGAGCGGTGTAAAAGATGTGTACCTGATAGTTGGATTGAATAGGCTTAAGAGAAGATAAATCAGGAACACCTTTCCATGCAAACTGCTCCAAATCTCTCAAAAGTGTTTCCTTTTCATTTGGATCTGCTTGCAGAACTTGTTCTAGCCGAAATTGAACCTGTCATAATTTAATTAGACCCATGATAAGTTTCAATGGTATCAACTAGAAGCTCAAAATATTCTACCATAGCACAGCTGATAAAAATAAAAAAACCAAATAATTTAGACATTTTGGGTTTTATTAAAGCAGAGGGCTATTTGGTAAGACATACTTTAACACCTAACATATATTTAATAAAAGCAGATATACCTGAGCAAAATGAGAGGTTAAAAGAAGTAATGAAGAGTTTAAAATCTCGTGTTCCTCGGTCATATTGCGCATCTTGTCAGACGAAGCGCTATCGGTTCCGGATAAATTATCATCCATGCTAAGATCAGGGCTGTCATTAGCACCCAGAGGAGCCCAACGTTCAATAAGCTTTCCTTCTTCATCAACTGGAGCTTTTGGGTCCAGAATTGTGGCATTGTCGAAATCTGCAAAAGATTCCATTTTTGTAAGACTCCTAAAAACGCGCCCACGATATCTGACCGAAATGGGAGTAGTTAATAATTGTTAAAAATAACCTTGAGAAAGTAGATTAAAAGTGTGATGTTGAAATTATGGTTAAAATAATTTTTAATTTTATGCATACAAATAACTTGAGTACAATCAAATATCCTTTTATATTTCATATTATGTGTGAAGTCATTTAAGTTAGTACATTAAATATCAAGTGTATATATATATATATAATAGCGCTCACGACATAATATTAATTAAATCTCCAATGAAACATTAATTGTGTATATTTTTTAATATTTTTGAATTCTCACATTTGATTTAAAATTGTAGGTGAATTTATATCCTGATAAATGAACGTTCAGGGGAGAACGGAATTTGCCCTAAATTATGCACTTAAACTTTTAGCAAAATGGTGCGACAACAATGGAGTGGTTATCAACACCTCGAAGGGCTTCCCGCTTTCTTTTCAGTTTCCCAATGTGTTTAGACAGGAACACTCTATAGTGTTTAATCTTGCCACGGGAAATAATTTTCTTAGCACATCTCATCATAATATTTGTGCTATTGTTGCACAGTTTGTCAGGATGTCGGTCAAAGTTTATGGGACTTGCGTGAAGTTCGTTCTTTAAAAGGTTTGTGAATCTAGGCCAGTCGGCCTTCTTAAAGTTCTATTTTAGCTTATTTAACATTTTGGGTGTAATGCATTTGCTGCTCGTGGTAATTCTAGCAATGAATGGTTTGTGACCAGAACCAGGATCGCCAATTATTTTGTGATGTGTATGCTCGCTGATGTTGTTTGAAGCCAGGAGCAAGTCAGGGATTGTTCTGGTTCTATTGTAGTGCAGATATGTAACAGGATCCTCATCGCTGTAAATAAGTACTAGAGGGTTGCTGTTAAGCATGTCTTCGATTTCCTTTCCAGCTATGTTTATGTTCTTATACCTCCCTCTGGTGGAATGGGCGTTGAAGTCGCCTAGTACTACAGTTTTTGTGAGATGTTCAGATGATCGAAGTTGGGTCTCTTCTGGGGTGGATTATAGACCACGTATAAATTGAAGTGATTTAGATATTTCCAAACATTTAGTCTGATTATTTCGCATATATCTTGCTTCGAACCCATACTCTTGATCAGATAGTAATGTGATGTGAGGCCTTCTTTTACTCCAGTCAAAATTCCACTTGGTACTTGCCGATCGTTAGGTAGGAGATATCAGGTGTAACCTGGGAATTAGTAGTATTTGAGTTTATCATCCGTATGGTTAACTTCCATGATTGTGATCTTCTTGTCCTGTGACATCTCTCCAACATCCCACTAAAGGATCTTTAGAAGTTGTGATTCGCCCTGACAAGAGTGATTTCTCTTATAGCTTCGTTTCAGGCTGATCATAATAGTTTGAAGTCAGCTGCCGAGTTATAGTCTTTTTTGCCGTATGAGCATAAGTTGTCCTGGGTACACCACGCGGAGGTAAGTCTAGTGCCCATCTCAAATGCTTCAACATTTAATTAGACTTCATTGTCACTAGCTGTCATTAATTTTATTCTCACACTCACATGTGAATATGAAAGACCACTTGTGAGTGAGTTGTCGCTGCCGAAATTAGTGGTTAACTAGGCAAACAGTCAGGCAGACATTACTTATACAAGCCTGGGCAAGTCCACTTATTTTGCTAGAAAACAATATCCTTTTCTACCTTGAGTGCCTGTGGCTGCAATAAAGAGCGACTGAAAAGTCGTGATTGTGAAGCATGGTTGAGAATCAGTTGACATGCGCTTAAAGTGCATGGCCTTAGCTAGAGGAAGTGACCTCAAGTATTAAATAGTTCTGCTAATTTTTCCGAGCGTCACCTAAGGTAGCACAGTACAGGTGCGCCTAAATGAATTTATCGGCTGGTTACAATTACCGACTCGCGTCAAGTATGTGCCTACTTTTCAACTTGCGGAACAGAAATTGCAGAATTGGAATGCGGACAGGATGCACTTCAAGTAAGTCAGAAGCCGCAACCAGGGAAGCGGGAAAGTCAATTACACTGGCTAATTCGTGCTGTTCCCTGCGAATAGGAAGCTATCGCTCCTGACGATAATTAAGGGACTTCATCAAAATTTTGGAATTTATTATATGTGCGGAGGTCTCGAATTAATAAGAACGTTGTATTCTCTCTTGCATGTGGAACACTGATTGCTGATGACATTGTCCGGTAAAATGAGTGCAAACAGAGCATCCAAAACACAGTTCTCGCACCAGATAGACATATTCGACTATTCTTAAGTAGATTGACATCAGGGTAGTGTGAGATAGGCTGAGAGATTTCTGCACGCCACACCTTCCAGGCTGTTCTACCTCATTCGAGATCTCATTAAACTGTCCCCTCCCCTTGTATTACGTTCTCCAAAACTCAAAACACATCACTTATTTAATTTGGCCATTGGGTATAGATTGTTTTTATGTACCCTATCTCTACCTCGCCTTTGAAATGACAAAATTTGCTTCCTTTTTGTGACACATTCTCTGATCTGACACAAACTTATCCAGGAAAGTTCAATTTACACCCTTGATGAGATATGTTATATAAGGCTGATTGAAGATGATCTTTTACAAAACCCCGAAAAGAGATAATTAGTGGCCTGGGTGACCTGATGTTTGAGTAGAACTGCTAAGCTGCTTTAAAGAAATGACTTTTTTTCCTAATTAGCAAGTGAGACGAATTTGTGCTTTCGGTCCGTTGTTGATTTCTCGTCAATCCGATGTACACTCGGGCCATGCCTAATTTAATCAAAATAGAACTTGATTTTAACATTCTAAACACAGAGAAATTGGAATACGTGCACTATCCGCATGTTTTCGTCCAAAATTGGGTGAGATATTTGCTTAAAATATGCATTTGCGTTTCTAATAAATCGAAAAAGTGGGCAAATACTACGTCAACTGTAAGGGAAAAGGAATACGGAACATTATGAGGACATCGGCCACAGAATCAACGATGATATTTATTTTTTTATTTCAAATGGCATGCTTTATGATATTTATCATTAGCCCTTAAACTTTGACTTCAGCTTCCCCCAAGGGTGGGGGGTACATATATAGCAGTTAATTAATGGCAATTCATTAGCTGTCTTCTTGCTTCCCAGTATCTCTGGCTTTCCGCCGTTGCCTTTAGGGCTGGACACCGAATCAGGTGGGTCTTCTCCATTTCCTCATGTAAGTTACATAGAGGGCATATGGATTGAGTGTATACTCCCAATCTGTGAAGATGTTTTGCCAAGCAATCGTGTCCGGTACGTAGTCTAAACTCAGCAACGGCTTCGATTCTTGGCCAGTCGGCTATGTCGGAGAGTGCCACTGTCCACTGTTTCTCCTTTGTTCGAGCTTTAAGTTCGTTGCACCTTGAGGTCTGGAACTCTCTTCTGATTAAGGCCTTCATTTTGTGGAAAAACATCGGCCGGTCCATGCATTGCAAAATCGTTGTCCCCTTCTTAGCAAGTGCGTCAGCAAGCTCATTGCCTTTAATGCTACAGTGACCAGGACTCCATTGTAGGACCACTGTTTTGTTTTTCTCCCTCAGCAGCTCATAGAGTTTTCTACATTCCTTTATCTCAGCTGTTTTGGGTGGCTCTCTGTTTCCAATTGAGTTTATTGCTGACTGTGAGTCCGAAATTATCACCGCTTTGGTGAATTTCGTATCCAGGCAACATAATTGGCATAGTGTTATCCTAATGGCCTCGACCTATTGTGTCCCGCTGCTGCGTAGAAAGAGGTATCAACGATGATAGAGGTAAGGAAGTATACTTTCCACCCAGGACTTAGAAATGAATAACCTGGTTCCACGCGCCAATGAGGAAGGGCTGTTTGGATACACAAACCTTGTTCTCGACTTCTATTTGACAGAACCACTACCCTTCACCTTGTTCTCACTACTTAACTAGTTTGTCAACTTCGTTGGCTTTGCCACGCTGTTCAACTGTCCTTCAGAGATAGTTGAAGAGCCTTCTATGTTCACGTTGCCGAAGAAGTCGATCCTGTAGCGGATTGCTACACTAGTAAAGCCTGACTGACTCAGAAATCTCTATGACAGATCCTCCTACATCTAGCTAGACTCCCAGAACCAGCTAAGCTATGGCCCAGCTATAAAGGAAGCAGACGCGTAACACGGAGAATTCTCCTACATCTAGCTAGACTCCCAGAACCAGCTAAGCTATGGCCCAGCTATAAAGGAAGCAGACGCGTAACACGGAGCACGTTTATTCAGGACGTATATTGCGGATCAAGTGTACACGCGGGGAGCTACTCGTGATCAGGATGGGGATTAGGTTAAACAAACAGAGGTTAATGATTGGTCACTGTTTGTATGGTCGCTGCACACAGAGTTGTACGACCGCACCTCCCAATCCTGGCGAGCAGACATGCAGGCTTACGATGATGCACACAGCGATAACGTGTCCCACAATCCCTTTGCCTTAGCATATATTGGCTTCTTGGACTAAGGTTTTTGTTTGGAAAGTGAATGACATGCTTCGTAAATTGTGGAGTGGTAGGATCTTCTGCCTGGAAGCATGTGTTCACTTAATAGTTCAATGGTTGCCTTGGCATTAGCCATGACTGGACGACTCGCCCACACTTTGCATGTAATAATCCAATTATGTCCTAAAAAATACCATTGGTCAGTATAATCAAGGGGGCAAGTTGCATGAAAATGAAAATTATTAGCACTTCTACTTACATCCCAATGAAATATAGACAAAATGAATCTCGAGTAGGAAGCAATAGGTACTTTCACCTCCTGATTACACACATTGTTTTAATTTTCGCCAGCTTCGGTTGACTCATAATAGGGAATGAGACACAATTATTCTCAAAAAATTAAATTCGAGTTACTCTAGACAATGGGTAAAGTGAAATAGTGTTGAAGACCGTAGATTCACTGTTGAGAATGCAAACGAATGTAACCGAACGGAGACAGATTAATATGGGAATGAATATGAAAAGGAACCTAAGAAACCCACGGCATTTACGCCCATACATAAATTAGCGTTGACCCATCTCTGTTCCATCTTCCACGGTCCTCAAGACAGAAAGTAGGCAGAGTATGTGACACAAGTAATTGTATCAGAGGAGTGATTGATCCCTAGGAACGATTCTCTCGACGATGCTTTGTAGGTTATTCAAGTTTGTGCTGAATTATTTGCAAGTTCTGGATGTTGAAAGCATGGCGAAATTCACTACCTCAGTGTCCACCTTTACTACGCATTGTCTAACACGTACTTAGCCACCAAATTGGCAACGAGCATTTTCGGTAGCCATCTCTGCTCATCCCAACCAATATTTAGTTTGAGCTATCGAAGTGCACCTTATTCACTAACACCCCCCCCACCCACCCCTACCCCAAGTAGCTTGTCTCGCTAATCGCATCAAACTGCTCTCTTTGACACTTCCCTTTCCAAAGAAAGTGAACGCGTACACAATGTTCCACTGGGATTTAGTGGTAATGTTAAGCACAAACGCGTAGAGTAGTCTGGATCGGGTGTGGCTTCCTACGAGCTCCATATAGCGACCATGTAGCTATTTCGAAATATCACTCCACGTCCTATATAGTGAAGAGTGGGCAATTTTCTACAGCACAAAGCTGAGTTGGGCATAGACGCAGTCTTATGCCCTGAACCAACCAACCCTGCTATCACACCTATTTTCTCTACATAAGACCTCTTCTTCAGGAACTACCTTATCGTCAGCTCTCGTAGTACCCATTGTATTTGACTAAATTAGGCACACTCTAGAACACTCATAGTTACCACGAGGGTAGCATTTCTTTTATTGATACAGTAAAATAGACATCAGGAGGTAGACATATCTGCTGAGGCGCTTCCTTTAAGTGGCCTGAACACGGTGCCACTGGTGGCCTTGCTTTTCTGCCTTTGATCATTATTCGTATCATCTGGTCGTTCGTTGTTGACGTATTTGAGCACAATATGAATGCAGTCTCCATAATCACCATAGATGAATAATATAGTCGCTGACGACGGCTTCTGATTCACCCTTCTGCTGAAGGTGTAGAAGGGAATGCACCTACTAGGGACTACCAGCAGGGACTGAAAGGTTGCCTAATGGATAACGCTATTTTTAGCCACTGATATTCCGATGCCAATGCAGTAAGTACCTCCACTTGCGGTCGCCTGTCCAACTCTTCAAGTGCTTGGGAATTCGGGTGGAGTTCTTCTCGGCTACTGTCCGCGTATGAGCCAAGCCCATCGACGCCCTCACCCCCGTCAATACCAGCTTCTGAAATTCTGGGTCTGCTGGGAGGAGATTCCTCATCGAATGATTAAGGGCTAAAGGGTTGGCCAGTTTGATATCTAATAGCCATTAGTACGATTAGGACGTAGAACGGTCCTCGGATTATTTAATTTTGTGATAGGCCATTCGTTGCCTTCTCATTAAACCTTGATGTTCGCGAACCACCCGTCGCTGGATGCAGGTGGGTGGATGTCATGAACCAATCAGCATGGGCGGGAGGGCGCAAGAAGTGATTTGACACACTCAGTATGGAGAGCTGAACTAAGAGCAGGCAATGAGAGAGGGAACATAATCACATCGAAAGACAGGGTCGCTCAATTTCAATTGGGGTGGAGAGGAGTTGTCAAAGTAGGTAGGAAAGATGCTTTGCATGGTGCACAGAGCAAGAAGTAGCAAATGGGATAGTCTGACAGAGATGACTATTGTTCCCGATTTCCGTCATTTGGACGATGGTTGCCATTAGGAACATACTTGCCCCGATCACCACTGTTTTGGGAGTTGTGATTATTATTCACACCTCCATTCACTGTTGCCACTGCACCACCGTTCGGAGTTCGGTCATTCCTCTGGCGTTGATTAACTGACTACCTTTGTTGTCCCTATGTGTCCCCGAACTGATCTTGCTGGTGTTGTTGCTGGTTCTCAGGCTGAGCCATCGGGGCATCCAACACCCTAACAACTTCACCATGGGGCTTTCGATAATGCACCAAAGCCTCGTACACTCTCGAGTAGGGACAGAAATAGTAGGCTCTTTAGCTTCCATTCAGCTCAAATTGCTCATCAAGGTTAATGATCATCCCAGCAAAGCGATACGAACCCTCTTTCGCGGCTTTGACGAGGATGTCTTCATAATGGTACTGGCGATCGGGATTCGGCTTTTCAATTCTATTAAAACAGATCACGTCCAAACGACAACAAGTCTCATTTCTAACTGGAAAGACATAGAGACTGCTATTGTTAAAATATCTTCTCAACAAGAAGTCATCTGGTATATCAATAGGAGCAGGTTGAGCATGGGCCCACACCACCGAAACTGCCTGGAATGGAGTCCGCATATACCGCACCCTAAAAGAAACATTAAGAGACACGTCAACCACCAGCAAGCAAACTGAAGGATTGCAAGAAGGCAAAAAAACCTACTTTATTCAAAACAAACCGCCTATGCAGGCAACGGCAAATGTGCCATGGTCGAGAAGAAAACAAATCGCGCATCTGCACTGCCGTCCACAACGTCTAGTATGCAGACTCTAGAATAGACGCTGCCAGTTTTCAGAACGGCTATCGAAGTCGCAAATACTGGTTCATGAAGCCATTATTGTGCCCCATTGTTCGCATAATCAGCACTTATCTCTGCCTCCATCTCCCGAAACTCCTTGTAACTTCTATCCACAATTGTGACGAAAAGGTGCTTCCGAGAATACCACGACTGAACATATACACGCGTTAGTTCACCTAACGAAAGTTTGCGCTGTCCAAAGAAGAAGTAGCATTAATTTAAATTTCTGACTTATTGAAATAACACCACATGTTAGGAGAGACTCACCACAAGTTTGGTTGGATCGCCGATTTCTGAGGTTGAGGGCACACTCTTAATTCGTCTTAAGATCCGCCTTGAATTTCAGAGGATAACATACTACAAATCTTGCAATAGTGGCATTGGAATCGGTCAGTGGCACAAGGACCCCTGCTTGGTACCGCGCCTTCAGAGTTTTAGCATGTATGCCCTTTTTCCACAGAATGGGCCTAGAGTATTGAAGGGGATGGTCAGGCTGTCTACACAAATTTGAATTCGCATCCAAACAGGATAAATCATCTCTGACAAGAACTTGGGCAACCCAAACACCATCCACCAATACCGGTTCAGTCTCTACAATGCCGTGCTCATGTGGTTAAGTCCCCAAATACTCATAATTATGGCATTGCACACGTTATTCACGAGTCGAATGTCTAAAGACAAAGGAAACAACGCTAGTAAACGCAGACAATACAAGTTAAAGCACCTAGCCAAATAAGATCAAATGACTAACATCTGTACTCAGAGGAACCAAAACACGACCCGCAAATGCATTTTTTTCAACAATTGTGTCTCATTCCAATTTCGAAGTGAATCACAATCTCTAGAGGAAGAAACCTATCACTATTAAAACAGAATCCAAATAACATTTTAGTAAAATAACATTGTGTGAACTGGAAAAATATCTTCTAACGTGTCAGTTTGCTCAAACTCACTAGTAGTCAAGAAAGTCGAGAATGTCCTCAAGACACAAATGCACTAATCACAAATGCACAAATCCAGTGGGAGCCTTTCTTTTGAGAATCGGTATATTTGCATATTATGCCCTCTTTTCGGATGAATACAAAATCGAAAGACATGCAAAACTTTTCATTTATTGAATTTGTCGAATAGAATTTAATAATGGGTTGTTTGTTTCAACGAATTGAGAGAAGTCAATTTCAATAAATTGCACAGGCAAAACGTTTTAAGTTTTCATAATTGCGGTATTTCTATGACTACTTTAAAATAACAGGGTGGCCAATGAGAAGATGAAATTTTCAAATTCAACAAACTTTACCAACAACATCATTATAGCACTCTGATTCGATCAATCGCTTATTAAAACAATAGTAGATAAGTGAGCATTAATTCGGGACATCTTAGGATCATCTCTCTTTCCGTATTGTTTATATATAACAAATCTGTCACGTAGTTCAATTGACAATGGTCTACGGATATAGTCTAACAAAGATGAAATAAGGATTGCATCAAAGATAAGAACGTTGCCTAAATGGTTACGGTTTCGCCTTCTGCTGCTGCTCCTCCTCCGCCTCCTCCTCCTCCTCCTCCTCCTCAAGAAACACATTTATCTAAATGAAAATAACTAAAATTAATAATTTATTAAGATGCCTAATTTTCCCTAGAAATGACGACGGCCATCTTCCAACTGCTGCAGAGACTGAGGAGAAGGTGGAAAATTACAAACCAGTGCCACGTGTAGAGGCAGAGGTGGAACAGTCACTGCTGCTTCTTCTTCTTCTTCTGCTGCTGCTGGACACTGCTATTTCATGCATAATGAATAAAGATCAGGTGCTGCTAGCCTTCCCTTTTGCCACCCACCCCCACCCCACCCCACCCCAATCCTTCCTTGCTTAACCTCTCAATCCTCCCCCCCCTTTATGCTCAAACAATCGAGTTGGCAATGCTCGTACTTGCTGTCCCCTTCCTCCCAATTCCGAATAACTCTCTCCCCTCTCTCACCATTCACTGCATATGTCCTCCCCTACCCCCCCCCCTCCCCACCCTCCCCTGTAGGGTGTTCACGCAGCATGACTCCTCGTATATTAGCAGGCAGAAAATTATGCGATAATTTGATTAGAAAGGGCAGTGAATAATTTCCTAAGACTGTGATATCTTATTATAATTAATAAAAATATGATTTAACCAGGGTAGTAGATTATGGACACGAAGTTTTCAATAGACTGGGACAAAATTCAAAAATATTACGCAGAAACAAACGTAAACGTAAATTCCGGAACTCACAATTTTAGAGCAAGAGTTTGCAAGTTGAAACTTTTGTGCTTCATTTCTAACTCCCATCTCAAATTTCGACTAACAGGTTGCGACAAATTGCAGAGTTTATGGGTCATTCATGAGTAATTATTAATTTCGGCCATTCTATTTACTGGGGAATTCAACAGAAGCAAATAAACACCAAGAAATCAAAGAGACGTGCATAATCTGAATCCTCATTTAATCAGGTTATTGACTACAGACGAATCTAAACTAAGTTTTCGTAACCAGTTCTCAATTTGAGAAATCGGCCTGCCTTTTGAGCTTATTTGAATCATCTGCTTGTAGAGAGGGCAAGTTGATACCAATCACGATGCTGTTAATGAACCGAGTTCGACACACTTTATTCACTATGAAAATAAGCTATGCTGTGTTACATTTCTCTCTAGTTTAGAGTAGTAAATGGCTTTTAAAGCCTTCTAGCGAAACCACTTCCTCCCCTATTTTTTACCACACTATCAAAAGCCAGATCAGCTTTCTATCAGGCCAATTCCATTATGAATATTATTCCATTTAAAACAATCGCTATATGATAAGGATGGCAAAATTTGTTTAAGTCCATTTTAAGAATTGGTCTGATTTTTCTCGGTAAATCGTCTGAGCAATAAGTATTTTATATATTGTTTCGTAAGCGCCTTAACGCACGACTCTCGTAGAAAAAATCACCACTTAACTATTGACTGATGGGGTGTGAGATGGACTTACCTCCTCGTGGTTCACCCTGGGCAACGTATAATCATACGGCAAAAAGTCTATAAACTGGCAGTTGACTTCTGACTTCAAACTACCATCACCCCACTGTATGTCATATTCGACCCCTACTACAGTACTCATCTTACCCTTTCTGAGCCTTGGTGTCTGTCTGTTTCTTTTACATCTGTGAATCACTCTTCTGTTCTCCCTCTCGAATTCTTCTCACTTTGATGTTCCTCCCACCCCCCACCCCTCTGTGAAGCCCGAAGTCAACTATAGGGCTAATGATAACAATCAAAACGCCTGCCATTTATTATAAATTAATAAACTATTGACCGACAGAGTCAATACTTGGTCAATCTACTTTGATTACATTCAAAGCACAAAATAATTACTCAAACTTCAGGCTACATAATTTTTCCATGGAAGCGCTCAATGTACTTCATCTTCTGTCATCTTCCCTCTTTCAGCTAGCAATACTTGACTATTTGGATGAGCACGTTTTGCACCAACCCGCCTGTTGAGTGGGCCTGTTGAGCACTGACATCATACACCCTAAATCAGTTGACATGCATGTTAATCCCTGCGCCACAGCCATAAACGAAATGGACTCGGACATTAATAAGAAAATGATATTCTATTGCATTTAAAGTAAATATACTGGTGCAGATGATTGTTTATTTACATAAATCAGGAGTTAAGGAGAGAGGGTAGTCCAAAGTGGGATCATTGCACATGCGTGTTGCCATATACTCAAGAAGTAGAAAAAAGGCCTTGATAAAAGCAGGGGTAGGGAAATACAAAGGGCAACTCAATCCGCTTACAATCAGTTCACCTGATGTAGCAGTCCCACCGTGGAAAATTTCATTCTTTTCTGTTTCTGTCTCTGATTACAAAACCACACTCTCACAACATTTTTCTTGAGATTCAATTTCTCCGCAATTTGGGCTATCTTCTCACTAGAAGGCCGTGGTTGGATTCCAAAAAAGGCTTCCAGAGATCGTTTCTCTGGATCGGTTATTGAAGTGCGTTTTCGCTTTTTGTCATCCTCTTCGAGATCATAAGCACTTGGATTCTTTTGTCGTGCAGTCGCTTCTTGTTCAGCTTCATCTAACCAAGCTTGTAAGATAGGTTTCAAAGCCAACATATTGTTGTGACTGAGTGTGAGAGACTCGAACCGGCAAATTGTCGATTGAGAAAATGAGCCCACTCCTGCAAGATTAAGACGTCCAAGAGCTTTTCCAACGTCCGCTTGAGTAACTCCTAACTTTATCCTTCTTTGCTTAAACCGCTCTGCAAATGCTTCCAACTCCTGGGGGTCACAATCCACTGCTGGAACTGCCGCAGCCACAGATAATCGATGGGCTTCCGCTTTGTGACGGAAAACCACATCTCCAGCTGTTGAATACCTCGAAGGAGCGAAAAAGAAGTCCTTCGTATCTTGTACACCTGGGTAGCCTTGATAGACATTCGCTGCAATGGCACTTCCTGGCATTCGGTAGCTCCCATCTCCGTAAAATCGGTTCATTTCAAGTAATCTTGCATCATCATCACCCATCACTGTGCCGCCATTCCATTCTAGCTGGTTGATGACCGGAGGCCATAAACCAGAAGTGAGGTAGCGTGGTAAGGCTCGCATTGGATCAACCAGACACAAACCATTATGCAAATCACCTCCCCCCGATTCTGGATACACCGTATTTTGATGTGAAGTCGCTGTAGATGGCACACAACAGCCAGGACATGAAGGAGCATCAGGAGCTGAATTGTTAGCAGTCTGGGAAAATGTGACTTCCTCACTTATTTGAGGGGAAGAGGAGTTGCCTGTAGGTGCCACTGGGGCATCAAATTGTTGTTGTGGATAAAAGGCAGCTGGATTAGCAACTGGATTTGTGTTTGTGGTTGGATTTGCCTCAGTCCACTCTTGAAAATACTGTTGATGGTATCTATTTTGGTGGACTTGTTGTTGCTGAAATGCCACAACTGTTTTACTGGGAGAGTTGGACTGTGGAGGAGGGGTCTCAGACTTGGAAGCCTCACTTTGAGATCCATGAGCTGTTGGCCAGTTGGCATCATTACTGTAGGCTTCATTTGTAGGTTGTGAAACATCATTGGCATTTCGGGGATACCACTGCTGAACACTCCTGACCGCGTTTGTCTCCCAGTTGTTGAAATTTTGTTGTCGGTGTATCTGATGCGCACTTAGATCTTGTTGTTCAGAGAGTTTCGCCACATTTTCTCCTTCAAAAGTCCCGTTAGATTCAAATTTTAGATTCGCCGCAGTCTGATATCCTTGATATCCATGCCGGAAGACTTCTTCAACTTGTTTATTCGAATTTTCACTTCCTACTGTGTCCTCTACAGTTTGTACGAGTTTATAAAGTGGATTAGAAACTGATCGATAAATCTGATCAGCCAAGAATGAGTAACCCCGCATGAGATTTCCAGCCTGTTGCTGTTGATTCTGATTAGACTGATCGCTTGCTGAAGACTCAGAATAATTTTCGCGTTGAGGTGGGTACATCGATTGTTGTTGGGTAGGAACAGGGTTTTTCGGAAAACTATCAACTCTTGGAACGTGTAGCGGTCCTTCTGTGGCCATTCTTATCTTCTTCTTCTTTAGTCAAATTTCTTTGCACAAGACGACATTAATTGCACTAGAATAGACAAGTATTTGATCACTTCAGATAATAACAGTTCACTAATAATAACCAAGGAAAGTTACATTATTATTATTATTAAATCAATCAAACTAAAAACAGATATCATAAACCGATAGGAAATCACTTATCAATGATGCAGGAAAGGTTGTCGTTAAAATCTAACTAATTCAAAAATAAAATATGGATTTTAATAGTAAATTAGAAACATTTTATTTTAAAATCAATATTTTTACTTTTTAAAGTTAAAAGGACGGAAAATAACTTTTAAGGCTTGTTTTAATATCGTAGGTTCAAAAGTTAAATATCGCATCACATACCAGTTATTAATAAAGCGGCAGAAGATCCAAGGTAGCACAAAAGCGAATGTTTAATTCAGATGGTTGGAGTCTCGATGTACGAGGGAAAGATGAATCGGTAGTCTTAATGCTCTAACCACCTCCAAGAAGGTTTTAATAATGTACAAGACGACTTTAGAGTCCTTTATTAGCTATTCCGTACGTAGAATAGCGATAAATATTGGATATGCTCACGCGCACGGTGTGTACTCAAGCAGGACAGTACAACTGGCCAATAGAAGTGCCGCGCGTATTTTAGAGGTGAGTCGGTCGGCCACTTTGATTGGTTGAAAGTTTATTAGACATGGTAAAGCTCCCCATTCGACCAATAGCAATGTAAAGGGGGAATCAATAGGGCCAGGGTGAGAAAAGAAGGCTTGTGTTTATTCAGGCATGCTGCGAAGTGAAGGTGGTTAATTTTTGAACAGACTTACTTCGCTTATCTGGAAAGACCTACATTAATGTATGTATGTGCTATCAGCTGATGAGAAGTACAAATCAACTTTCTATTGACTAAAATACTACGCAGAATTTCAAAAGACACATTGGAATCAAGATACGATATTTCAAGTTATAAGTATTACGAATTGTAACAAGTTAGAGGAATAGAAAAGAATGACTAAATTATAAGGAATTCTTGAGAATCTTATCATCTTACTATGTATGGGGAACGTTTATATTAGCCAATGGCACTGGCTCATGTAAATCGAAAGAAATCAGTGGGAAAAACTCACAGAGAATTAATGAAGCTCTTCCCTCTAGACAAATAAGACATTTTTTATTACAGCAATAAAGAATGCCAAACACTATTCGTTTGAGGCAATTAGTGAAATCGATTAATTATTAATCACTGATTGGTATAAACTAATCCATTTTCCTTTATTAGATTGCACAACCCCAAGTAATTGCTATAATGAATTCATGTATGTGTAAAAATCATCACGTATTTTTCACCTTTAGGAGAAAATGAGTGTACATTTTATCCACCCAGAGTATTCTATCTGCGTGTACAAGCACGTTAGGTACAGCAAATATTGCGTCCACTGTCCCTCCTTTCGTATCCTTACCTCCCTCCCAACCTAAACTCCACACAACCACCTTCTCATTCTTCACCACTTCTGTCGCTACTGCTACTGCCTCAGCAGAAACACTCCTTGCACGCACATAACCTGATCAAAGATTCATTAGGTAATAATTATTTTGACCAAAGCATCTCCTGCTCCTCCCCTTCTTCGCCTCCTCCTATTCCTCAGGGGGGAATGAACACTGCATCTCACTCCTCCTCTCTCCCCCCCCCCACTCCCCCTTTACACGCGTGCTCATAGTATTCGTCCTGCTGCTGAAGCTGCCTTTTTTGTCATTGGTGCTCGCAACTGCACGTGCCGCACTGCTTAGCGTATGAAATATTAATGCGGCTTGGGGATTGAAGGAGTGAGATGCAGAGATGGTATACACACGTAGAAAATGGGATGTGGGGGTGGGGGTGTTGGGGGGAGGGGTCGTAAGAGGGGAGCTGGAGACTGAAGATGAGTGCTAAAACTGCTGCCAACGCTGTTGGTGAGCAGTGAAGACCGCTTGTCTGGAAACAAATCACGCAAGTTGTCTCCGGAGAACAACTTTTCGCTGAGAAGGTGAGAACAACTCAGTGTGCAGTTATTTACTAATTACACTTATATTATCTCCATTGGTTAATTAGAACTATTAACGCAGGTAAGTAACTACCTCCTATAGCTTAAACAGAATGACGAAGTGCATTTTCTTGTTGAATAATACTTGTTTACTAATTTAAAGTAAAATTGTTATCACTGATATATCACAACTTATGAAGTGTAAATATTGGCTAAGCGATAGTTAAAGCCATTTGTGTAAAATTCTGAGCTCCAGAATGATCTAAAAATGTGGATCTAGTCCAAATAAAATACAGAAATTTATCGTTTAAACTCAAAAGATTTTATATTTAATAAATTAGTGAGTACAACTTTTTGGCTTAAAATTACCTATTTTGGAGGTAAATGTTGAACCCCATAAGGAACGGTTTTAAAGATCAGTAAATCTTTCGTAGTACTTAGTGATTGGAAGCAATAATTTGGTGTTTTCAAACAAGGAAAACCATGATCAATGACTACTATTTCTTTCCTCGAGAGAAATAATGAGTCCCTTTGAAGTTCATGCGTGTATATTTTGTACTTTGACTAGTTTTAGGAATGATTAAAAACATAAGATGATTGATAAAATCCGAATGAATGAACTATATTAAAACACCTATTAGAATACAATTAAATAGATTTGTTACATGAATTAACACTAGGAATGAATAGAATATAGAAGAATCAATATTCATTTAGAGGATGTGATTGAAGATAAAATTTGTGAACAAAGTAGTTGATCTTGCACAGTGACTCAGTCTTCATAGATTGCACTGCCACATTCGTCAAAATTAAGCAGATAAGGTTTGAGTCATACAACAGGTGTTTGAAAAATTTTGTAAAAAAGTTATTGAGAAGAGTAAAACAAGGAATGACTGTCTGGGCAAGCTGGGAGAAGAACGCCCCGAACGTTCATCTCAAAGGGCGGATACGTAATCGAGCGCCGAGGGTATCACATTTGCTAGCTCAAAGTACCTCTTTAAGCAAGTAAAGCAGGAGTTTGACAAGTTAAATGTTACAGATTTAATGGTAATCGTCACTTATCCAGTAAACGAAATCACAAGCCACACTAATTAAATGAATCGATTAGATAATTGACGGAACCTAGATTTTTCAACCGACAAACAACAGGATAAGGCTTCTTTTCCCTGAATGTGCTGTAAAATCGACTTCGTTCTATTGTCTTCGAAATGGTAAAATGAAAATGATGGCGGAACTCTCAATTGAAAGTTTTCATCAATCAATCGTAGATAAACTCCCTCAGTGGCACTTGTAATCGGCATTTCGTCTTCATTCACTTATCACTTCTAAATATTATAACAAAAGGGGAATAAAAAAGCAATAATCTGTAGACAACTGGTGAAGTAGCGACCTCGTATCCTAGAATTTTCACAAAACATTGGAGTATGGCTTGTGAAGGACAAAACCCGACGTCGATTCGCTTCGAGTTGTGAAAAATCAATTCAAAATAATTTCTTCATGGTATTCATTGGTGGCTGCATTTCAATGAGCAAATGGTTTTACATGCCGTTCTCGCTGGAGGTATTCAAAAAACTTATAAACGGCTTCAAGGGTGAATTTCGAATGAAATAATCGACAGAAAAATCCAATTTTTGCAATTCCTAAGTGTAGGGGGAGAGAGAGAGTGCAGTAAGGGTTGTATGAACGTGTGCATTGCCATGAATCGAGTAACTCCTTTCATGCGTGTAGAAATGTGAACGTCTGTCTTCTTTTGCATAATTCAAACGTTAGAGAGCGTTATCGCAATTGGCCATTCCTGCAAGTTCTTCTTTGCTCTCTCTCTCTCAAAGACGACCAACTCGCTTCAAAACATTGGATTCTTTGTAGGAGAAAAACGTTGGCATTACAAAATGATTTCTAAAACAGATATAGGGTATTTACGTTGCAAAAAAATATGTATTTCAATATAAGAAAATCGCTTCTTTGGCCAGATGAATGAGCTGTAGCTCTAGAATTGGCAATGGTGTCACTTTTCAGTCGCCAGCATTTATTTAATTTAAAGATGTTAAAACAGAGTTGTAAATATATTTCCTAAACAGACTAGTAGTCCTCAGTCCCGTCTACAAACATTCATATTAGGTAATATCAACTTAGTTGCTCTTTGTTAACCGAAGTGGGACTTACGGCATAGCACAATCGGACTCTGAATTTAATTAATTGGTCAATAAAGTCTACATTTCGCGGACATGAGTTCACTCAAGAACCCGTGATGTACTGATGTGGTTTCCAATCAATCAGCTCCTGTTTGCCAACTAACTAATCTTTGTGTGCTTTCCATAATTTCGTCTCCTCTCCCAAAGTTAGACATGGTTTCGTCCTACTTAACTTCAACTACCTCGAATCCAAGACCTGGGGGTCAAATCCTAACTCTTGAACACGTCACTACGAAGTTTTACTTGTTTCCTTACCTGAAAACTGCAAATCTTTGCGTCGTACAAGTCTTCACGCATGAATAGTTGCATTATCATTCTTGTGTGATCAGATTTGGTAACACTGAGTGAAGGTATAATATCTTAGAATCATATTTAAAACTATAACTTCACTGCCTGCACCAGACAATAGAAGTAAAGTTGGTGGTCAAGCAATCATCCTCAGGATTTTGAGAAAAATTCGATTTCTCCTGGTATCTAATAAAAAATTGTCTAGTTCGTTAGATGTATGACAAAGAAATGGCAGATTACCTGCGACCTTCATCCAGATAAGCCCATTTAACTTAAACATCAATCAATCAGTCGAAATTAACTCCATAAGTGCCTCGAATTGAAGTGAAATCTTTACTTTATTTCACAAAATTAATCTTCTTACCCTACCAATGGATTTTGCCATTGAAATTATTGTGGATAAGTCAAGACCTATTCGTGTAGCAATCGCCTACAACTCCTGTGAATGAAATATAGAACGTCATTGTGCCGAACTCACTTCTGACGGGATCACTAACCGATCATTCTCGTTGACAACTTTGACAAATTTGATGTATTACTATACTTAGATATGTTATAGTCCATTATACACTTAAGACAAATGTATCAATACGAAACTAGCAATGAATTAGAGTTATTTTGCTCCAAGCATTGTGATTCAAATACTCAAAAACTGTCCTCCGTGTTAGATCAAACACAACACAATTTAACCAAATAAATACAATTTTATTATTTGAATGACGATTTCTAACAGGAAATTTCAATATAACATTTGCAGTATATTTTATAAGAAAAGCGTGTAACAAATATGACAAAACACGCAAAGACTAGGGAATAAAGATGGTGCAGTTTTCACTGGTGGCAAAGGCGTTAAGATTAATGGGATCCGAAGCACTAGCTTCTGGAACCCAAAAGAAGGTTCCATTCTTCCGTAGGCAAGCAATTCCAAACAAGTCTGAGAGAGGAATGCACAATTTGAGAACTAGACCCGCTATGAATATTAGTAGCATCCCAGCTGTAAAGAGACCTCTTGAGACAATGACACACCATACAGACTGCTCCTTCTCGGATGTTGATCCTGCCACCTGAGTCCGTTCGACCAGATTTGAATCTGTTGGACAAGAATAAAAGGTGCCGAAACAAAACAACATGAATCACGTATATGCATAAACAGCAATTACCGAAACTAGTCTTCTTAACTGTGCTTTCTTCCTCACTTGAAATACCTGAAATTTCAATGCTATCAAAGCTATCAGTTTGAGGTATTTGCTTTTTTGTTCGCTTCGCCGCCTTGAAAGAAAAAAAACGACATAAGAGAAATTAATAAATTGGAAATGGTGATGTAATTTAGTAGGCTATGGAATATTCAATTATATTTGAAACGTCCCATTCGATAATAAAATCGGTGACTTGATCAAAGAAACGAAAAATCAACGAAATTAAATCACATGACTTTACCAGTTCGATTTGTTTATGCCAGTTGGTTCGTAGGAGCAAACTTAGGTAAACAATTGAGATCAGGATAAGTCCAGTCATAGAGCCGATCCATAGACCTAGGGAAGTAACGTTAAGTTCATCTTTAGATTCAAATATGTTTAGAGCACCTGCCAATAGTTAATTAACAATAATAATGTTAATTACGTGCTATTTTGGTTGGAATAAACTTGTTGTATGCTTATTCGTTTCACACCAGTCTATTTTCCGTCGTCATTAACAGATTCAATTATATTACAAGATTTAATTTAAATAAATAAAAAATGCTAAGAAACAATTTAAATGGAGAATACTCCCATCAATTAATGACTAAATCAAATCGAGTAAATGCGATTTATTTTCAAAAAGTGAGAAAATTTGTCATTTTTTAAGAGAGCAAAGACTTCATTGAAATAACAAGCTTTATAAAATGCATAAAACCTTTAGCAGAAACATGGATCCTATTTGCTAGCCAACTTTAACTGGAAATTTACAGTCTCCAAAACGCATGGGTACCACGGTCTGAATTAAGCATCCTCTTTGTTATCATCTGTGAGCTGTTACCTGTGAGCTTGAGGTTTGACTTTAGAAGAAGTGTGAATCCCAACGGCGCAGAAATAATATAGAGGCACACGAAAATGACCAAAGCGCCCACGGGCTGCAAACCAGATCCTCGTATTGCTCCGCCCATAACACCCTGAAATTTAAATGGATTTCCAGTATTCCTGACAAAAATACATTTAAACTAACTCTACTTACCACGGCCCCTTCGAATACGAGGAAGACACAAAACAGGGGCATGCACTGAGCAGCAATGGCGATAACACTTCTACAAATATACAGATTAGCGAAATACTCGTTACTATCAACTCATAAGTAGCGCTCTATAATGATAAGTGAACGCACGGATCTGAGGTGAATATCTTCGAAACCTGCCAACGAAGAGCTAGCAATAGAACAGCAGCTAAAGACATACCAGTGCCTAGAGAAACAAAAAATGAATATTGATGGAATGAATAATAATTGGAATTGGAAATAGGGATAAGAGGAGGCATTCCTACAAGTAAGGAACAATCCAGCTAAAATGGCCACAATCGGGACATCGGCTTCACCTGAGCCCAGACTCTGGCCGACAATTATGCTGCAAGCAATGGCCAGACCGACAGAAAACTAAAGAGGTGTTCATTTAGTTGTTAGTAATTCTCTCAGTTAAATTCGTGGCATATTATAGTGATCACTAACCAGATTGTAGAACGCTTGATTGAGGTTTATTAGAAGTGTTTGTGCTGCCAATTCCGATACTCCGACAGTACCTTAATGAACAAATAAAATTTTAGTACACTACAGCACAAAATTTTTTTAAAAAGCGACAGGGTTCTTTACCAACAAGAATCAGGCCGATTTCGAAATACCACCATTTCAGAGCAATCATAGCAAGACCTGGAATTCCAAGTTTCAACCAGCTACCCCAATCATACCACATTGCGTGGCTGTATCCTAAAATTGAAATACTGAGTAATGTGGAATAGAAAAAATATAAGAAGTATTTCATATATTTTTCTTAAAGATAACACCAATAGCAAATTGGGTTGGGATGAGCTAGGAGGGAATTAAATATCGATTTTGGATATCGTGAACACAATCTAATACACATCTTCGTGGTTTCAAATTCATCAGTTTTAAGCTGATTTTTTTTGTCAGACAATCTGATTCAAACTCTTTTTTATACTTGGTTCATTGGGAATTTTCTGTAGTTGTAGGGCCTAAAGTGACATAACTATACTACTTAGAAATTTAAACGAACATAAATGAGTAGGCATTTCAAAGAAGTAATGAACAGTAATGAACACAAATGCGGTCCAAATGCTCTCATTAAATATTTATCAAACGCCATATTGAAAATTGTTCATCCCCCTGTCAAGTTCGTATTTTGACAAAAACATTGTCATATTGGTTTCATTTGGTCAAATATTACTGAATTTCAACCAGGGAAGATACATCTGATTTCGATTTAAGCCGAGTACAGTACTTACCATTCCAAGTAGCCTGGTAAAGTTTAGAGAAGTAGAGATAGGAAATCATCAGGATTGTTGCACAGAGATAGCTCACCGACTGGGCGATAGCAGAGCCCCTACAGACAATCAAATAAAAGATCAAGAAATTATCGAGACGAAGCTCTTCAGAGATTTGTATAATATTCCCTTTTATTTTAACGCAGTAAAACGAAATTTCATTGACCCAAGGAAAACCCTATAGAAATAGACATCTGGGATTCGAAAATAAAACAAATTATAAGACTTGAAATCGATAGAAAATTTGTTTAATTTATCACGCCCAATTCACTCTGAAAAATTTGATTATTTAATATCATAAAATCATAAATAATTTACTTGATTCCAACTTCCAGCGGGAAGAGAAGAAGGTAGTGCAGTAAAGCGTTCAAAATGTTCACAGTTGCCCAGATGACTAGAGGTGGTAGCATCTTATTCTGAGATTGAATGTATTTCTCCATAACGCTGACTCCTGATGCAAACTATTGGAGAAGAAGAGCAAGAACTAATAAGCAGGATACAATCAAAATCCAGTTCCCTTCATATCTCAATGTTGGTAAGCTACTGATGATTCCGAGGCTCAAAACACCTTGAATCGATTAGTTAATGTGTACGTTGTCAATATCTGTGTAGTCTGTGCCGACTTTTGGAACATTCGTAGCCTCTTCTGCATGCTGAAAATTCGACTTCGACATTCCACATCTTAAGGCGCAATTTACAAGCAGCTTAGTGTCCCACAATTAAAGGGGACTTAGAAAATGCAAAAAAGGAACATTCTAATTTATTTCCATGAACTTGGTTACGCAAACACCTATGTGGATTGCAACTATTTACTTGAGCAAATGATAAGGAAATTAAAAGCATACAACTTACAAATATTGCAGGTATCATGTAGACTAGATACTCGGCTGACATTCTGCAATACAAAGAATGAACACATATAAACCCTATACGCATAGAAAGCGTTGGAAAACTCTTCTACTAGCATAAGATAGAAAACATTTGCCTGAACAATTTATATGCATCCAGCTACAACTACAAAAGAGATCCTTCGTACGATTAGATAACTGAAAAGAGACAAAGTGGAACGGATCAGCACTCAATAGCCATGAGCAATAGAGTGGAAGAGTTGAGAAGCTTTCGCTTTAGGAAGCAACGAGTCATTCTCGTGGCTAATAATTCAGTCTTATTCCACAGAATTCTACGCTTTTCATTCCAATTTATAAAAATATGCATCATGGTGCCAGTATTTTTATTCTGCCAATGAGAAGAATTTATCATCGCCTCACCTAATAAGTTAGCCAATTATCGTTTAAAGTAGTAAAGTTATTATGCCTGCATTCTAAAATTAAAAAATGGGTATTCCTAAACTTACTTTGCAATCCGCGGATTAATTTTAATTGCCAGAAGAAGCGGTTCAATACTCAGAAAGATACCCCAACAACAGACGCAGCATATCGACGTGATGTAGATTGCTGATAAAACATAAAAATCGTATTTTTTGAAGCTAAAACACACTAAAAAATTACGACTCTGGTCGTAGAAGGTAGCCCACCTTTTTGAAGTTCAATTCCCATTCGATATCTATTACCGCTACCGAATGTCTACAAAAAAAATGGAGAGATAAGCAAAGTGGAAGCACAAATTCTCCTGAGTTAATCTAAATACATGACGCAGATTTAGCAAAAATAGCTGTCTACTGAAAGAGCAGCTTTGGCGCCATAAAGGGTAGTGTGAAGAACCAAAACTTTTTGTTCAACTTTTCTCTACCTCTTCATTGAACTAGTGCTTGATACGCGTCAGTATCAACGGGAGTTGGTGAAGAACTAATTGTTTACTTTTGTGTTTTCATCGAAAATCAGCACAGAACGGTCTAGCGCCCCCTGGAATGGTTTATAACTAGGATATGTATTTGCAGTGCCTGGTGGCAGAGCGCTTAGCTTGTAAACACCGTCATGCTGACGCAAAGTCTCCGTGACCCCTGACAATACACACGTATACATTGTCATGACCAAAGTAAACTACAAAAAAATTGATAAATTTCATTTCCATTTTGAAAACGTAAATAGTCCTATAACTTATTCTAAGCCTCTATTGTTACGCATAAGTAAATCTACAAAGACTAAGACAATAGGACAAAGTCATTGCCTGCGAGAAGACAGTGATGCACGTGGAGAGAAGACCATGCATGACAGAGAAGCCAGCGACATTGAAGATAGACAGGGCCAGTCCGACGGCTGCAAGCTCATTTTCCCCAAGTCGACCCACGAATATCACACAGGCTATCGACATCGTTGCCGTCAACATACCCGTCAGGGTCTAAATTCAATGAGACTAAGTTTAATGTAACGTATATAAAACTTCCACAATGCTCCCACCCCCACTCCCATCAAAACAATTTACTAATCTATCAATGACCATTCACATGAAGCTATCTTCATGTAATTGATCAATTGAGTCAAACTTGCGCTAAGCCCAGTTTCGTACCACAATTGTACTGTGTTCTCGCATACACAAAAGACTGAATGGCTAAAGCGAGACGAGTAAGTTGTTGCCATATTTTCAAAGTATTTTCAACCCAAATTGCCACCCAATAGGACTTTCTGTAATGGAAACAAACCAATAACTAGTCAAAAGTGTCTTGACATCAGTGACATAAAGAAGACCCCCATTCTTTTGCCTCTCTTTAATGGATTTCAACAGTTTTCCGATAGCGTGAACCACATCAGCTGTGGCTCAACGCGACATGAGTTCCAATACCGCCCGTTAATGATAAATGACACGCCTTTCTCTTCTGCATAGTCTCATATTTCCAGTTTGCATGCTTAGTGGCGGTGTAAATATACAAGAATGAATAACAAATGGCGTTCAGTAATGTGCAGTTGCGTATTTACAACGCTATTGGGTGGGAAATGAAAATGAGTTTTTGAGAGAAAGTCACATAATCAGTGGTCTTGTGGAATAAAGTACTTATTAAAGCGAAAAAAGTCTGAAACATTGCTTGAATCCAATCGACAAAGGGGGGGAGGGCACAGTCCTGCGTGTTCTACTGGTTCTGCCTTCCAGTGCACAACTAGACGAAACCTTGTTAATCTAAGAACCTAGATAATTTACCTTTAAAAAATGGCCTTTTTAATTGAATGAAATTGTGAGAAATATTCGAACCAGCGTCCCAATTACTAATGGTAGACAGTTATTTTAAAACGTAAAATGATCGATTACCCCAATTCCAAAATATATCTGATGGTCCTGGAATTAAAGTTCAAATTCCAAAATGGTAGAGCATCGATTTTGACTAACTTAATAAACGTTAGAAAATAGCATTAAGTTGTTCCTTCCAACATGGCTAACTCAATCTCTTTTGAGATCTCATCTAGAAACGTACGAAGTTTTAATATAGTCCTGCGTATTCGTTTACGTAAGAAGAGATTGATCCAGCGTTGGCTGGTTCCTATAAAACAGTAAGAAGATAGCAAAAAATAGATCATGACTAGCCTTGAATTCTACGACTGACCTAGGACAAGATATCTGAGGGGGAAATTGACAAATTTTAACTGGCACATTTCCAATCACGGTTGAACTTATTGAAAATGAGTCACTATGACATGAAAGCAGTCTTTTTCAAAAATATCGGACCACATATTGGCTGCTAAAATACTCTCTCGTGTTCCTTTCTCAAGGGGAAGAAGTGGAGGGGCGGGGGGGGGGGGTCCTTCTTCCGCCACGGCTGACTACTAATACAACTCCCCTCCCCTCCCCCCATCCCCAAATAATAACCAGCCCTCATTAATCATTGTAAGTTCTAAGGTACAACTCGACTGAATTAACTTGCTTTAGCTACCTTCCGTTGTGAGTAATCGTTGAAATTACTAATAATTTCTCTATTGATCGTAAACCTCACACCGAAATGCTCCCTTTCTTCTAATAGCCGCTAACAGTTGGCATTGTACATTCTCACTGATAATAGAATGTTATTACTGTTCTCGGAATTCATGAAACAAAAAACATAAATTACAATTAGATTTTGGTACGTCAAGGTTTGGCATAGAGCATTGTAGATCAATGCTGATCTGGATCTATCTTAAAATATTATCTCACCAAAAGGCCAAACTACTATTAAACAGTCCCATAAATAGCTGGAAAGACATTTATTAGATTTCAATCCATGGTAAGAGGAGATTGGATCTTCGATAAAGAAAATTTTATTCAAATGAAAAACCAGCCGACGACGTAACAGTGGTATTGAAGATTCTTACTTGAAAGGATGTCAAAGGTAACCTATTTACTAATATAGACATGAGCAAGATAGTTATTCGCACTGAAAACACCAAGGAATAGCTCGGCTCTGATCTTAATTCAGAAAAGGCCGTAGATGTAATGCGTATAAGAGGAGCGATTTCATCCTTAAAGATACAAAGCACAAATGCAAAAAATGGAATAACTTAGGAAATGAATATTGAATTGTATTTCTCATCGATACTCGAACATACTCAGACGCAAGGAATTGTGTGATACAACTAAACTTACGATTGGGACTGCAAAAGTGCAAAGTTTTTTCATTTCCCGAAAAAATAAGCCAGAGACGAGTAAACTGTCGCAACATTTTCTACTTGACCGAGAAGATTCTAAGCCCTCCATTGTTTAGCAGTCAGAAGCGTCTTCGGAATGGGATATATGAACGGCAGATTGGAGCAACCTAACCGAGCTCGCAGCCACTGCGCCTAGACAGTAAGTGAGGCCGGCTATGCTGATGTGGTTTGTTATATGGTCTCGTAGCCTATGATCACCCAAGACTAGGTAAACATTGTAGGCGTCTCATTGGCCATCATTTAAATAAAAAGTTGGAGGTCTGTGGAGCGCACAACGCTGTCATCGCTGAACAAAGGAATCTCATACGCACTCAAACAGGCTAGAAGGTGCGTTCGTGCTACTTAGCATAGGGAGTAAGTGCGGCGTGAGCACGGAGACCACCCAGGTAACTGACAATTAATAGTCCTTGTTTAGTTTAGCAAACCCTCCACTGTGTCATAATGACTAAGTTCCTGTCTGTATTAAAATCCGATATAAGCATATTCAGCAAGTCTATTTCTTCTATAGTTTTAGGTACTTTATCAAGTCCTGGAAGCCTTTAAAAATAAGGAGAACGAGTCATAGGATTGCTGAACATGGGTAGTCAGAACACATTAGTGTAGCAATCCGACAGAGATTTGCTGGGATAAATACCATTTCTGTTTAAACACAAAATTAGTGATGATTTGGGCTTTTAGTATAATGGTTTCAACCAACTCATTGTTGGTGTCCGGACGTTGAACTCACCGGCAAATTCATGGTTATTGCAATCATGCCAATTGATTCTTAATTGAACATTCTGCCTTGAAATTTTACGTCTTTCTAAATTAGAAATTACCCTACTCATGCAATTGTTTTAATTAGCTTAACATAAGCGCAGTTATATTTTAAATTGAGGTGTGCGATAGACTTGCCTCCACGTGGTGCACCCTGGGCAACGTATACCCATACGGCAAAAAAGTCTATAAACAGGCAGTTGACTTTTGACTTCAAACTTTCACAGTACTCAGTTCACCTTTTTTCTACCTATGTGTCTGTCTCTCTTACATTTTTGAATCACTCTTCTCTTCCCCACCCCTCTTGACTTTTTTCCCTTTGATGTTCCTCCTCCTCTCTGTGAAGCCTGAAGCCAACTAATGGGCTAATGATAACTATCAAAAGGCCTGCCATCTGCTATAAATAAATAAATATTTTTAATTTGATTTTTAAAGTATGACAACTTTTTACTATGTCATTTTAAAGAAGTAAGCTGAAAGTTAACAGAAAAAAGACAAGTTCCCCTCCGGTATTTTCGCTTGAAGGTTTGTGACCTTTCGAGTGTATTATTAAAAGTTACAAAAAAATGTATACAAGCTGGCAAGCCCTCATGAATTAAGGAGTAGAATCTACTATTAAGTCACTTAGGTGTTATTTTTAAGTTCTGAAACTTGTGGCTGATTTATGACGGAAAATTTATTAATTATTTATTGATTCGCTACCATTTAGTCAATCAAAATCCCCCTCCTCATTGAGATAATTAGTTAAAAATCAATAATTCCGGTCACTTTAACCAGTAGAAGGGCAAGTATGACTTTTTTATTTTAATCAATCCACAAATACATAACATTAAATATATATCCACTACGGTGTTGAAGGGCTAAAACTGGTCTTGAATTGAGGGAGAGACACTCCCGCGCAACTGTTCCAATTCTTCACAGAGGGTCTCCAGTTCAGATTTTTGAAGTTGAGTAAGCGTCTCTAAATTTACCTTCCGAAGAAGCGACTTATAACAGATTTCCGCTCTCAGAACGTCGCCAGTAGCATGAGCTAAAGAGGATAATGGGGCATTTCAAAATCATAAATTATAACTGTCACGGTCGATTTTAAAAGGATCCATCGGATGACCTCTACTGAACTCTTTAAGGAGAAGTGAATAAATTGCGATAGCAGTGCCATCCTTGTATGACTAATAAGATCTGAAAATCATAGAAGGGCCGCATTCTAACACCTGAACTTTGAATCATCAGGACATGACAAAGCAAACAAGAAAATGAGATAAAGGTTGCTAGCTGAAATCCTGTTTCTACCCAAGCCATCAATTATTGGACTATTCTACTACGTTTGTACCTCCTAATGGCTGTTAGAAGATAGAAATGAATAAAAGTCACTTAATCAACCAGTCAATTAAATCGATCGGAAAATAGATACTAACTTTCACCGACATGAACTTACACAGAATACCAGGGATCAATTTCTGAAAAATAGACATTGAAATATTATAAATCGCCAAGCAATTTGTACTTCTTAAGAGAAAGTGAAAATAGTAATGCTTTTAGAAAATAACAGAGGCTATGCGATATTCCTCCATTTCGAAGTCTCCTTCCATCACATACACGCCATTTTTGGTACTTCGAGCGTTCGATATAATATCTCACTAATTAAACGTGTAAAGGTTTTTTGTCTTGACATAGGTAATATTAATGAAATAACTGCCATTCCATGGATAAAAATAAAAATTTCAAACTATTAGGTGGGCAACTAAGTCATTGCCGTTTTTGTTGACAGATTCACTCTATACTTTCTTTTGTTTTGTTAACGTGGCCAGAGCATCTAACCTATTTTTTTTTCTTACTGTATGGGCTTCTAGGTTAATTAGTAAAAAAATTTTTTTGTTTACTTCTTTAGTTTTGTTTTTATCCCAATTTAAAAATGAAAGAACAGGACGTGCACTTCTGACACATTTTATTGTATTACTTCCGAAAAGGCAAGAACGCATCGCAAGCACAAAAGAAGTTATGTGCCGTATATGGAGATGAAGCCTTAAAAGAAAGGCAGTGTCGAAATTGGTTTGAAAGATTTCGTTCCGGTGATTTTTCACCGAAAAATTCACAACGATCTGGCCGCCCAGTCGAAGTGGATGAAACCCATATCAAGGCCATTATCGATTCAAATCGTCACAGCACAACACGAGATATTGCAGAGAAGCTCAATGTGTCGCATACATGCATTGAAAAAAAATGAAAAACCCTTGGTTATGTCAAGAAACTTGATTTATGGATCCCTCACCAGTTAAAGGAAATTCATTTGACGCAACGGATTAGCATCTGTGATTCGCCGCTACTGAAACGCAATGAGAATGATTCATTTCTGAAGAACCTAGTTACTGGCGGCGAAAAGTGGATAGTTTATAACAATGTTACTCGCAAGAGATCATGGGTGAAGCAAGATCAACCAGCCCAAACAGTATCAAAAGCAGAGATTCACCAAGAAAGGATTATGCTGTCAGTGTGGTGGGATCACAAAGGAATTTCGTATTTTGAACTCATGCCGCAGAACCAAACGATGATGTCGGATCACACCTAATTCAGTTTTTTAATAGCAAAGACCAGACATTTTACGAACGGGGAATTTGTACTCTGCCAGAAGGATGGAAAAAGGTCATCGACAAGAACGGCCAATATCTAATTGAATAAAGTTATATTTTTAAGCAAAAATTGCGAATTTGCCTTCTTATTTGAAATCGGCAATGACTTAGTTGCCCACCTAATATATAAATTCTACTAACAGGCCTATATGTAAGGTATAATCCCTTCGAAGTATTATGGAGGAAAGTATAATCGTGGAGGCGGGGAAATCAGTTGTTAATAAAGTGATAGCTGCTATTGACAGAATGAGTGCTGATAAACAATCCGACTGTGATTTGACCTCCAACATTCAACGCGGTTAATCGGTGTCAACCAATAGATAAAGCGCCTTCCTTTCATCCATTCACTAAATTTTGACTAACACTGGTCCAGCCATTATTTCATAAATCTTTTGGCGATGTATGTGATTCAATAACGGCTTTTATACAACTTCTATCAAAATGCTAGCAAATGGTAAGCCAATTAATTTTATATACGTTATCAAGCCTTGTTTAGGTCAGAAGGCAGAAGTGGGTGATGAAAAGGAAGTAACTAATATTTGCAAAAAATGTCTCAAAACTCAATATGATTTACGACATGTGAATTGGTGAGGAGCCATTTTAATAAATGACTTCAGTGTAGAGGGCATAGTTACTCTTTATTATTTATAGAGAACTTACGCGTCTGCTCATATATGCTCCTAACTCGATTCACATCCACATTCATTTGCTCCAAATCAAGGACCAACTTCTCATTTTCCTTCTTTATTTTCTTTGCCTGTTTCTCGCTATAATATCTTATCTTTTCTTCTATCTTGGCCATATTCTTATTGTGATTCTAAACGGTATCAGGTAAAGCAGAACGCTGAACATTGTTACTTACAACTTTCAGTTGGGCATAGGTACGCTCCGAATCCTTCATCTCCTCTGCAATCATGCTGTCGTAATTTGAACTACGGAGATACTGTCAAAAAATGGAAATGTATGAAAATACATTCAGAAGAGATTAAAGCAGAAATTTACGCGTTGAATTTCTCGAGAGATGGTAAAGTTAGTTATCTCCTTCTGTTTTTCTAAAAGGTCTTCATAACGCATCAGCATCTCCCGCAGGTCCCTTAAATTAATGAGCGATAAATATTGGTTGAATTAGCCCTACCATTCTAACATCTTGAACCGTCTTTTGTAGGCTTTGATGAGCTCCATATGGTCAATCTTCTCATTGCTCAATTGAACTACTCGAACATTAAGATCCTCAATTTGCTTCCGATTGATAAATAGACAGCTATTGAAATCTTCAACAAGAGCTCCGGGTTCAACACAAACCTCATCTTGACCTTGTGGCATGATAATGCTAATGACAACGTTGGTCATTGCTTTGTAGGTCTTGAGTTTCAGTTCACTTAGAGCCTTTTCAATTTCATTTAATTCTGCTACAGCATCTTCTATCTCCTGTTCTATGCGCTTAAGAGAAACAAAGAAGACGTTTTTAACGCTGAGCATAACTTCAATGTGGCAACAAATTGTCAGGTCATATAGATGATCGCTTACTTCGAAATGGTATAAAAATCTACCCTCTCAAAATATCATTTTAAATCGTTACCATTTCCATCTCATTTGTTTCCTTGTAATTCACAACTGTTTGCATTTGTTTAGATAATTGTTATGAAAGTATATTTTAGGCCATAAGTCAATTCTAGATGGCTACACACCGTAAACTAGTCATTAACCAATCTCAAAACACTTTAATAAATAGGTATTTCTAATTTGAAGATTTCTTTGTCTGCTTTAATCAAATATATTCCAAACCTCATTGCTTTTCAACTTATGTGCTTTACTCTTGTATTATGTGATCGTTTTGACCTACAAGCAATGTCTTGGTAATGGAGAAGATATAGTTTGAATGATTTGTCGAAAAATTCGACAAAATTTCTATCTGCACCTCTGAACGCTTAAGTGCAAGCATTTATAAGCATTGTTTACAATTCCTTTCGAATTGTAAATCTGGAACATAATTGATGATCCGAGTTATTGGACAGGGTGACTAAATATCAGAACGGCAACTATTTCTGGCATGTTTACAAACCTAAAAGGGACAATATATTACTATATTTCTTTCATGAAGTTTTTTATCTTATGCAAATTTTATGCAACATTTTCAATTTATGCAAATTCTGCAAAATTGTGTACTTTGAAATTTTACTTGTAAATTGTCCTTTTTGTATTTTTTGAATTTACTTATGAAAAGGGATCAAAATTAGTAAAAACACATTGTATTATGAACTAATAATTAAATATTCCACAGTTCTCTTATTTGGTTATGTTCAGAACCTACCTGAAGGAAATCCTTGGCGATTTCGAGCTTATAATCTGTCATTTTCAGTTCCATTTCTTTCGAGGCCTTCTTCATACGAGCTTTGTAAAGTCGGTTCCAAATTGCAGGACTAATGTTATATTCGGGCAACTTGTTGGCCTCATCAAATTCATTCAATGCCCTTTGCATGGCCGCCCATTCGGCTTCTAATGATCGGTTTTGGATCACTGCTTGCTTGTAGGGGTACGCAGACTCCGGAGAGCTGATGGTTTTACCCATTTCATTTACCTCATCACCCAATTGGATATCCAAATTCCTAAAACATCAAATTCAAAGTAAAAGATGTCTCAAGTACGCATAAGCCTGTTTGCCTCAAGTGTCACTCCTTTTATCATACTTCGTCCTGTTTCATACGCACCCCTTTGGAAGTGTATGGCAAGCTCCTCAATCCCTAATTTTGGGCACCCACTGTCACTCTCCAACCCTCAACTCATTTCTAATGATTCAACGAAATTCACTTGACCCGTAAGGGGAGAGCTCTAAACCAACCTCGATCACATTTTTATTTTCGATTTTCTGCTGAGATTAATGACATTTTACCCAGGACTTACTTAGGACGTCTTCTGAAAGCCTTGAGGAGAATGTCATAAAGCTGTCCATGAACGTCGTGGAAGTCTTTACGGAAATTTTTTTCCAACATGTGATCTTCCACATTTATCAACTCCATATTTTCTTGAAGTCCTTCAATCAAGTTCTTGGTCGTTTGGATGATATTGTGCAACTGCAAGTAAAAAACATTTATCATTGGAAAAATGTCGCACTTTTGAAATGAGCACTATATGTTCAAATTCTGAGTTCATACCTTTTCGATCCTCTGTTTAAGGTCATCCTTCCTCTGTCCATAATACTTTTCTTCGTCCTGTAACTCTCTGGCCTGTAGAACAGACGCTTTTAACTTCCACACTTGGATTTCTTCCATTTTCAGTGCCACCTCGTATTTTATATAGGACTTGAATAGATTTATAACCTCTTCATCAACAGTGGACTTTATCTCTTCAATGGCTGTCTCATTCTTCTTTATTTCTGTTTCTAGAGACTAAAACAAGACAGATTTAGTATAATTCAAAACAAAAAAATCATCTTTACAGCGTTTAGATTTTGTCTCGGGCTAATCAATTCTTGCATGTTGTCCCTAAATAGGCCACCAAACTTATTCATATGCGAATGCGAATGGCTGGTGACAGGTTGGCAGTTATCAAGGGCAAACCTATTAACCCTCTGAAGGTGTTTTGATCTCCGGACATCGGTAAAGTGAAGACAGTTTATATTTGCATATAAGGGGTGTGCGATAGACTTACCTCCACGTGGTGCATCCTGGGCAACGTATACTCATACGCAAAAAAGTCTATTAACCGGCAGTTGACATCTGTGTGTCATATTCGACCACTTCCACAGCACTCATCTTACCCTTTCTCTGCCTTTGTGTCTGTCTCTTTTGCATCTTTAAACACTCTTCTGTCTCAACCCCATCTCGACCTTTTCCCCTTTGATGTTTCTTCCCCTCTGTGAAGCCTGAAGTCAACTAAAGGGCCAATGATAACTATCAAAACGCTTTCCATTTGCTATGTATAAATATTTGCATATAATACCTTCGGCTAATATTGTTTATTGAGTTAATTCCATCACCCCCCTCCCTCTAGAGATATCATATGAGCAGATGAGTCATAGAAACAAAAACTAGTTGCTCTGCTTGAGAATTCACTAACAATATATCTTATAGCTTGTTCAATATTGTAATTAGACTTCAGATCTGTACAATTCGATCTCTATGTTTTGAATGGACTCACTTTACGATATCTCGCGCGTTCTTCTTCTAATTTTTTGCAAGCCTGGAGATAATTTCGGTAGATTGTAAGCTCTTCTAACGTCATATCACTTTCCTTTTTGCCGGCTTCGACAAAAGATGGCACTGGGATGTCCTTTCGTAATTCATCTTCCTTTGTCACCTCCAGAACACCGCCCATCATATCATCCAAACCACGTTCTCGCCAGTTGTCCAACTGTTCCCGCCTTAATCTCTCCTCCTCTGCACGTCTTGCCTCCTCCATTGCGGCAATTTCTTCCGGTGAACGGTATCTCTCAACATCGACCTCTTCATCAGTGCATTCCAAAAGATTTTCGGGACTTTCAGTAGGCCGTAATTTGTATTGGTCTAACGAAAGCAGAGGCGCCGTGGGATCTAACTTCGGAATTATTTGATTGATATTCGCAACTCGTTTCATTATTTCCTCAATATGTTGACGTTTCCGTTTCAAACACTCGTCAAATTCCTTATTAAACTTGAGCTTCAATTGGCGAATCTCTTCCTACATATGGGCAGAAATTACCAAAGGAACAACTTTCACTAACCTGGATGAGAATCGCTTGAGTAATTTTCTGATCATTCGTATATAGTTCCATTTGGTTGTAGAGCAAATCTGTGGATACCCCAAATTTGGCAGCTGAAAATTAAGGAAATTAATCTAAATATGTGAAGTCATGAATTCTTCCATGGTTAAGACTTACCAACAGAACCTATGTGGGGATCTGTATTTTCAGAATTAGTGTCTTCCTTGGAGATATCTTCAGAGCCATCCTTTTCACCTTCCTAACAAAGAAGAAATGGCAGGGAAGTCCAAGGCGATGAACAAAGGGAGTATCAGACTTATATAATCTTGATAATTCAGTAGTGTTTAGTAGTAGTAAATAAGATATTCATATCCTAACCTTTAAATGCCCACACATTGTAGTATCAACAAGTATGAAAATTCACTTCAATCGTTCCTCTTTACTGGTAGCCACGAAAACTTATTTATTCAATGAAAATAAACATCATTATATGGTAATTTTAATTATTCTACTTTCATTTTAGTAAATAATATTTTTCATGATAGCTCCAAATGGGTTCAAAACAGTTCAGCAAATAAAGGCCTTGTTTACTACTGGACGCCTTCCATATAAAACTTCCAAAATTGACCGTGGACATAAACACATTTCAAGCCATGCAAAATAAATGCGGTCTAATGAGAATATTCGATGGTGATGGGTGATGCCGACCAACAATCAGGGTAGTGGGGGAAGCGAGTTTCCTGCTTAGAGTGGTTCCAGAATCCGTGCGCCCTGTTTAAGTCAGGTATTGGAACACATGGGAAGTTTCACTTCAAAGTATTCATGATAAATCAAAAACCCGAAGGTTAACCGACTTAAATAAAGTGTCTAAACGGGCTGAGGCAGATGCTCACGTGGGGAATAACCATAATTATTAATAATTATAATTATATAATAATAACTAGAGTGTTCAGAACTATTCCACCTGAGTTCCCATAAAGGCAAACTACTGCATTTTTCAAAACAAGAGTACCATTAAATCGTATGATCACACTGGAAAGGTAAATTGACATTGTCGGGAATCTTAAGTACGTCTAGACGTCTGCTTTGTTCACAAATGATATTTTGAGTAACCTAAACATCGTCTTGGGTACGGACGCTAAACTTAACTTCTCGGAGAAGATAAAGGTAGATATTTGAATTAAGCGGGATCCGGTTTACCAAAAGTTCACTCAAAAAAGTTTATGCGTTTGGTGACTGTTCAGCTGGAAGATAAAAATTTCTAATATTCTAATACCACTCTAATGAATGAAGGTATTTCCGTTTTGTATTTTCTTTAAAGTACAATTGTTTTCGAGCCTTTCAAGCTATTTTAAACATGAAAATTGAAAAGGACGAACACGACCATCGATCAAATGAGAAAAACACTAGAAAGACCTGACCATCCTTCCAATTATGACAAATTTCCAAAGAAATTTCAAAGCTTTATCGCGATCTTGTCTACAGGGATTTTTCATTGGTATAATATTTACTAACGTTGATTAATTCCTATCTATAAATTGTCATTCAGACATGCTGTAGATTGTTTGGACAATTCCCTCCAGGGTAAACTATTTTGCGTAAACAAAAGTCAAGTCACACGAACTCCAAAACATGTGGCTTACACCTCAGCCAAATATAAAAATGGAAAGTTTTGGGGAAGAAAAAATTTAAGAAAATTCCGTGAAATGCCAGAAGCCTCATAAACACATAAATGTTTTTTTGCATCAAGGCGCTGCGATTGATGTCACTTGTAAATTAGAAAGTAACATTTACCGTTTTTAAAGTCTTATCACATTCTCGCCTATACAAAACACCAACTTTCATTTCAATTTTCCTTCGAAGTTTTGCTTGATCTAAAATTCTAACTTCTTCCTCTGTCCTGGAATGAATAGGATAATTAGAGACCTCTATGGGGCTATTATAGGCCAGAATGCTTCGACCTTTGACCTCTTGTGTTTCCCAACAGCAAGATTTGAGTGCATTATGAGTAAAGTCCTTGATCAGGTTATTTTGTTCAATCTCTTCTCTTTTCTACATGAATAGAAACACGGTTACTAAGACACAGGTGTCATACCTTCTGTAAGATTTTTTTCGTTTCTTCAGTTACCGCGTTTCTTTCTTCGGAGTCCAATTCGAATTCTGTTAATGCAATCTTTTCAAGATCTGTTAGCAGGTTGTTCTTCTCTGCCATAGTTTCTAGCTGAATAAGTCAAAAGCAATAACCAAGATTTCCAGTTACCTCTTTCTTAATCTGCTTAAACTCTTTCAAGACATGACTCTTGGTATCAGCAAACAGTTCTTCGTCAATCGCTTGTTGATTTTGAAACTGTTTTTCAAGCCAAGTTACTGCATTGGACTTCCTGATCACTTTGATAATCTTAAGGTCATCGTCAATTATCGAAGTTTCGCTTTGACTGTTTGTGATCAAAAAGGCATTAGTTTTCTTAAACTGATGGAGTTTGGTTGCAAACTCATTCTTGATAACGGAAAACTCGAAATCTTCCATTTGCGGCATCTTATCTCTAGGATGAAAATATTTTTTGTGAACAATTTTAATTTAGTCTACTTTATATACATCATACCTAATTTCACAAAGCCAAATAAAGTTACTCCCCAATATAGGGGAGAGGGGAGGGGGGGGGGGCAGTTTAGAGAGAATTCAAACCAAGGTCAAATGAAAATCGATTCTAAATTATCACCAACATAACAGATACTAAGATTACTATTATAAATGAAATTGAAAAGAACATCAGACGTTTCCAATGGAAATATCCGAAACATAAAGATAATGAAAGGCAATAAACGGTTCAAGTCAATCAGCATGGTCGGTATATTTCTTCACACTATATGGATCAATGAGGATCATATTCACGACCTCAAGAGGGACCTGTTAACAGTTGGACTTTACGCCGCTACCACAACAAGAATAAGAGCTCCTAATTACTAGCTAGTGGAAATTATAATTGGCCGCAACTTCCAATACTTTCAATGATCGAATGAGGACTCATGTCTTCAATGATTAATTGTGACGAACACACAACCATTGCCTTCTATGAGTGCTCTAATTACCCAAGTTAGTAATACCTTTGCTCTGTCATTAAATTTTGCATGGGTTCCATATGACCATGTTAGTTCTGTGAATGGATTACTTACTTACTTGTGGATTCTACTATATTATAGAACTTTTGTACCCACCAAGATTCAGGAATAACTGTTTGGTGTTCTAGTTAATTTTATCGTTTAGTTCGCTTATTTAGCCTACAAAATCAAAAATTTTTCTTTGGCACATGCCAAAAAACTTTTTAATCGACAAAATTTTGTAATTAACTTACGCCAAATTTATCGCACAAATTGAACCATCAGACTTTATGGCTGCAATGGTGCTGAAATCCATTGTCACTGCAACTTGAATTGGGAGATCAGTGTATTCCGTAAGCGGAAAATGTTTGGTTAACATTTTTGCCTGCAAGAGGTAAGTGAACAAGCATCAAGCTAGTAAGTGGTGGTAATGAAATAAATTTGTGTGGCGGTCATAATCGTGTTATCTGTGTAGTAGGATTGCTTCTTGCTTTCCATTTTAACATTTGCCACTACCCTGAAAGAGGTCATCTTTTGCGTTAAAATCGCTAACGTAAATTCTGGTCTGCATCGGTTTTCACTGCTTCATTTCCTATGGACTCATTGCTTTTTTATCCATTTAAACTGTTCCTCACCTTACTAGGACACGCTTCCGCTCTTATTACAGTCAAATGGAAGTTAGCAGATTGCTCCTTCTATCTTTTTTAACAATTAGCATATCAAGCATTTGTGAGAGGCTATACTGCGACTCCATGGAAAATCAATACATTCTATCGCTCATATACTCTAAATTGTAAGTAAAAAAGAATTATTATTTAAGACTGAATAGCATGGTGCTATACGTCCGCTCAGATTGGTGGTATCCAAGTCAAAAATGGTGCACCTTGCTAATCTCCCCAAGAGACACGGCGGTCATATTTTTAGATCTTCCACAGTGTAGCTCAAATCACATTAAATATTCTCAACCTTCTTTCGTAGTAATAAGTTTCGGCACTTCCAAACAAGTTTGGCATATTTTTTTAATTGCCAACACTTCTGCGTCACTAGAGCGAATGCGCGTGAAATGGCACTGTCTGTATTTACAGTGCTTTGTCAAATTGGTAATAATCCGCATTTTGTCCATAATTTATGGTATAGAGCATGTTAGAGAAAAGCCACTTTTGTTTATGAACTCTCTGCTAAAACAATGTGAAACAGCTTTCCTAACACGCAATCTTCTCCTAGCTTGGGAAGATTAGGCTTAGCACTCTTGTGGCGCGGAGTGAAGAGGTTTTCAACCGTCTCAGTCTTAATACTGTGGACATTCTAGTTAGTAGCTAGTATGTACTCAATAATAACGAATTTCAATTGTAATTTATAAAAGAGAACGAGTGTCCACCAAGGCGTTCATGACTAAAATGTGTAGATCTTAAGGAAAACTGTCATGAGAAGATTTTTAATAATCATGGGATAGAAATTCAAGTCATCCTATTTGAAAATACTGCGTAATTGTTAACACTCTTGGTTATACATTGTCTTAAGATAGTGATTAGAGATGATCGCGGCGCCTTTTTAAGTTGTACGTCTTAATCCAAAGAAATTGGACCTAGCTATAAGATGCCTCTCCAAAAGAAAATTTGAAAATTTTGAACAATTATTCAAAATTGCTGTTTGTTGTTGAACGTTTTCTATTATCTTCTGTTTACTTAAATCATGTTGGTCTGCAAAATGAACTACGGTAACACTTTGAGGCGATCTTGGTACCGATCTTGTCGGCTTCTAACTATGTCTGGGGTGGGGTGGGGGGGGGGGGGGGGGGGTGCGCGATAGACCTACCTCCCATTTGGTACACACTGGGCAACGTATACTTATATGGCAAAAAAGGTCTATTGATCGGCAGTTGACTTCTGACTTCAAACTACTATGGCCCTACCATTTGACATATTTGACTCCTTTCACAGTACTCATCTTACCTTTGTTATGCCTCTGTGTCTGTCTGTCTCTTTTGCATTTATGAATCACTCTTCCGTTCCCCCTCTCGACTTTTTGTCACTTTAATGTTCCTTCCCCTCTCTGTGAAGCCCCGAAGTCAGCTCCAGGGCTAATGATAACTATCAAAACGCCTGCCATTTGATATAAATAAATGTCTTGTGGGGGGGGGGGGGGGGGGGGGAAGGGGGTAATTTCAGGTCGAAAAGGATTTTCATTATGAAGGTTAAAAGTTATTTTCTCTTGTCCTCAAAGAAACTCACCGAATCGTTCAGATTAAGAATATATGCTATTCCAGATTGTGAAGTTACGATAACATAGCCAGGAATGTGGGTTGAAAGTAGACTCATAGAAGAAGATACAAACGAGACACTCGTTGTCTGATAGTCAGCCAACTCTGGGATTGCACGTTTCACCTAAAAGAGACGTATTTAAATCAGAAAATTTAAAAAGGAATTTTAGATTTGTAATGCAACCCGAAGGGTGAACTAGGCGACTAAAAGAACATAACCCAAACTCAAGACAAGAATTTCAAGACCTCTTTCTTTAAAACCCTTTCCTTCTCCTCTTTTCGTTTTTGAGTAAGTCGAAGGAAGTTAACACTATGTCGAGTTGATCGAAAGCGAGCGTTAGTTACCGTCGAAACAGCCGGCAGACGACGACCAGAATTTTGACTACTCAGAGAACTCCATCTATTGAGCAGTCCGGATTTTGAGCGTATGCGGTTTGTCGAAGTCTTTTAAATGCAATCAATAATTTAAATCCAAACTGTCTTGTTTATGACGAAAGTATTTATAACACTGGAGTTGATATTTGTATTAAAATACCTGCCCAATGATTTCTTTAGTGAGGTTAATTGTGACAAGATTGTAGTTGAAACTGGAGTCCTTTGTCAATGCGTAGAGAATGAACTGAGATTCTGGATCAAACTCTTTGTTCTCACTAATAGGATCGTTTGAGTCAGAATCAGTACTCTTCGATTCAATTACAGACAGATAAGCATCAGAAATCTCTAAGAGAATCTTCAATGAAAATTGGGATATAGAATCGTCACGAAGTTGATAGGTGTTCGGAAGCAGGTAACTCGTAGCATCTAGATAAAATGTTTTTTTCATGACAGAGTTTGCAAAAAAATGGACGTCACAATGATAAGTCATTGACATTAAGGCATACCGTTTAATATCCGATCTGTCAGAATAAAATAAGTTGCCATGGTAAAATTGTCGGGTTTCTGTTGTTTGTCCAAAATGAGACAGTGAATATTGCCATTTGCAGATCCCGCGAATGTCACGGAGTCGATTTCCTTTTCATGGGCTACAACAAGAAGGAAAGATTATTAATGTTAGTGCTTAACTTTACATGTTCTATAATTTACCTATGTAGCCCACTGGTTGGAATTTCCTGCTCGGCTCGCAGGGAACTATGTAGAGCTTCGTCTCCGAGCCTTTTATCAGCATTAGATCTCCCTTTCTATCCATACTGAAAGCAAATTAAACGTTATGCTAATATCTAAAATCAAGATAAGAATATCTTCACAAATGTGCGACATGCAATCGGAACTACCTCGATCCCTAATATAACTAATGTTCCGTCGTCTTAAGTATAGTGTGACAGAGAAAATTCTGAGCTAGTTTAAACATAGAATGTGTTAAACAGTACATGAATGGAAAAAGATCATACAACAAAGGACTGGCCCAAATTTCTTAAAAGCTCAGCCATTCAATTAGGTAGAAAAGCTCATGAGTGAACAAAAAGCTTTACAAATTTCAGCTGAATATAATTAATAGGCATTTACCGAGCTCTGCCAACCATCAGTTATTAATACCTGCACTTAAAATACAGTTAAAGAGAAATTCAGTATCTTCTATCAAACTGAAAGTGATTCTGAGCACTTGAACGAGATCACGTACTAGTTTATCTTTATTATTCACTGTATTCGCACGGAACCACGTGACAAAAAGTCTAGAGGCTACTTTTTTTTCTGGAAGTGCGGGAGTCAGTAATGCGACTTCAATTAGAAATTGTTAATTAAACCGATAAGAAAGGGAGAGGCTCCAGTCTCGAAGATACTGTACGAAATAATAAACCCTGACCATGGTAGCGCTATTTTCATTAGAACGAAATCAGCTCCCCCAGGGCAGGAATGAGCCAGATTGCGTTTCCGAATATTGTAAAAGGGAAGAATAGTAAGAAGGTGGGAACCATGCAAGCACTAAGCTCAAACTAAGCTTGAGTTCAGGAGGATAAATCACCAAGTCGTTGATGGATGATTAGGTTACTGGGTGTCTTAAAATAGGCGCACCTGTTCATGAGTTCGACCATGACAAAGGGACAATGAACTGTATGAAAGTCGATTACTAAATCAGGATAGCAGTTAGTGTAGATATGCACGTATCAATATACTCATTACACAGGACATAGTGGTATGGGGAATCGGATAATAATGCCGAACTTTACAAAATGTCGGAGAATAGATGGGGGACACTTGATATAACTGATGTAACAAATTGGAATGACCACTTTTTTCTCAAACGCCACTTGTAATGAAATTTAGAGTTATTACTTACTAAATTTCTTTAATAGCAGATTGAAATATTTGAATCGTCTGGATAATGTAAGGTTTCTGGCGATCTTCCCAGAAAATCATGCTTAGACTTCCATCTTCAAATCCAATAGCTGTTAACGGTAAACCTGGAATCGCTTTAATGCATGTTCCCTACATTAATCGAAAGGCATCAAGAGGTTATGATGAAAATTCTATGAAACGCCTAAGTTAGATCGCTTACTGCACTGCTAAACTCCATCGAGCAAATCTGCTTTCCCGATTCAGTAAGCCAAAGGGAAACTTGTCCACCTGAATTACATGTCTATAAAGGAGTTATTTTGTCACCATAATTTTCTTATTCCTCACCACAAAGTAAGATATCTCCTCAATATCAATACTGCATATGCCAACAAAAGCTGAAATATTTGAGTTTATAGTTTTCAGAAGCTTGAGCGCGGTATTTTGCCTCCGTAGAATTTGCACAAGTCCCGAGTTACGAAGAATCGCCAAGTTATTGTAGTCTGGAGTAGGTGACATAAATGCAATGCCTCTGAGATCCGATTTCAAGTTGTGAAGTAATTCTTCATTCAGTAAAACCATTTTTGATTGAGCGATTGAATTGATCTTGCGCACAAATATTGGGGGAATATTTTGAGTAATCCTTGATACCGCTGCATCTATTTCAAGTGATTTAGATGTCTCAGATTCAGTCTGAGTCCAGTCTAGTAGTCTTAAGTGACCATCACCACCGCCGCACAAAAGCCCACCATTTGTGTAGAGTACAGTATCTACATTACCCACTGTCATCACACGTATTACTTCATCTTCTTTATGTATATTATTGGAAAATGGGTTGGATATTATTCCAAGTACCATAGATTCCAGATCAATCTAAGAGAGCATTTAATAATTATGTTCGAAATACCATAAAAACTTCACCATCACGGCAACCGAAAATGGCGAAGCCCTCTTTAGTCCAGGTTAAGCTGACGGGTTTCATTCTTTTAGCATTATCTTTATAGTTTTGATATTCTTCATATGAATTCTTAAAGGAACCTATATTCGCCTGAATAAAACTTAAATACAGTTTCTACCTGCAACAACCTCTTTAGTTGTTGGATATATATTCGGATTTTCCTCAGGGTATATTAAATCGAGTGGGGTACCGTTATTCGGCTCTTCATAAATACCAATTTGAGCGTCAGTACGCGGTGTGGTAGTTTCACTAGGAAATTTTCAGAGAATTTTTGAAAGTACCTGCAGGTTAGATGATAATTACTCCCGTATGACTCTAGAGTCCAAACATACACGAACTCTTCGGTTGCTCCGACAAATGTATTCGCATTTACAGCACTAAATCCGAAGATATCAGGACAAACGGAGTTCAAAAAAGATTCGATAAGTAATACGTTGTTCACAAAATCCCATATTGTTAGTGAATTATCGGGAATCGAAGAAATACAAGCAAGAAGATTTTGATTTGAAAATTTTAAGTGATGAACCTGACTGTTTTTGATTTCTTGTAATTCATATGTTCTTTAAGTTTACTCGAACTTACTTCCAATACTTTTGGATTTAAAACTTGGATAGTTTACAATAACTATGCTTCCGGATGAAATATCTGTTTCTGCAATAGCGAAAACGGAATAAAGGGGATGTACTGCGGAAACAGTACGGAGGGAACCTTTAAAATGGAAGGTCGAGACATTGCCATTTAATTGAGAAAATCGGAAATAGTTTCCAGATTTTAGACATAATGTGTCATTATTAATAAAATCAACGGAATAATTCGAAATTCCTTGACTCCAACTAAAATTGATTTATATTAAAAATATGTTAGCATAGGAAGCATTGGAGGCAACAAACAAAACCCGAAATAGGACACCATCTGGCAAGAAAGTGATCAATCATCCGATGTCATATCAATATGTGCATAAACAGAGAAACAACAGAAAATATATATAGGTAAGTATGCCACTAACTAAGACTATTCGATTAATTCTAAGGAAATACAAACTGAGAAACTATATAAAAAATAAAATTTATTGTAATACATATTTCAAATACAGAATTCTAATTAATTATGATAATTGGTCAGTAATTATTATATTAGGTTCACGATAAGGATACAAGTAAGAATTAATAAATTTATCGCCTATTACACACTTAGCGTCCATCTTATATATGTGCGTTCGTAAATGGACATGATTTAGGCGGTTTGAACAAATGAGGTGTAAGGAAAATCTATTTCTTTCAAAATACTTTACAGACATGAAACTGAAATAAAATTATATATTTCAATTGAAATAATTCAATTGCGCTGAAAATGCAGCTATAAACCAATACTGACTCTGAGGTTTCAGAAGAAATTTTGAATTACCTAATTTATCTATTTTACAATAAAATGTAATTCAATCAATGATTTATCAAAACATATTTCTGAGCATAAAAATTTTTAAAGTAAATTTAGGTCTGAACGGAATCTGAAAGATATTTTTGAATAACATTTTTAGATAAAATCCAGCAACAATTAAATCTATACGCACTTCGATTAAAATGTATTTCAACCAAAAATAGTGCACAATAAAAATTGAATTAATTTTTTTCTGCTACAGTAAACGAGTAGAGATAAGCGGCAGTGAAGATGAAATACTGTATTTGGAAGTCAACTTAAATTTATTCTGTATTTTATTTTAAATTTAATCATCACTTAATGAAAATAATTGTATGTATTTATTCCAGTTATGTAGACCGTGACTACGTCGACTGGGTAGGAACTTAAAATGAAGTCATCCATATCACTGAATCAGCTCGGAGTGTCCTTGAAGCAATCCGATTAGCTGAAAACTAATCGATATATCCTTGAACGTTACTCAGGTCTCCTCGTCGCTATTGCCGCTTGATAAACGACATATGATCATGTATCTATGCTCAATTAACCACAAACACTGATGCATCTTCTATGGACACTGTAGTCGAGTTAGTATTGCCAGTCAATCATTCTGATCTCCAATTTTTAACTAATGTTCTCTATCATTAGCATCCCCGTTCAAATATGGAATGTCTCGTATCTGAGCCTTGCTTTCAAGGACCCTTGAAATATTTTCAGGTATTTAGCTTACAAACCTTAAGGTCTTATAAATTGTAAAACTGCAGAATTTTCTTTTAGGGGAATATTATTTCCTTTTAGGCAGTATGTCTGTTCGTAGATTTGATCACCCGTTGGTCAGTAATAGTGGGGTTGATCGGTAGAAGTGTAGAATATCATTAATTCCATGGTGGCAATTTACTGGTCGTTTCTGTGGGTACCACAGGCTGTCCGACAGTAAGGGATATATGCGGTTTCGAAAACAAAAACATAATGCCATCAAAACTAGTAAGTGATGGTATTTTTCATATTTCGGGAAATCAACGCCTCTTCATGTGTCGTAGTAATCGTGGTAGTTGTCATTAGTGATTTAAGCGACAACTTAGGACATATTCACGGTCGCCCTATTCTAATATCACTCCACTTGGAAATATCGTTATTTTTCATCGTCATATATCATCACACACTGCCCTTAAATCTTGATCTTTAGATTTATTCGCGATAGGAGAGTGATCTTATAAGATGAAAAATGTCCTTGGGTAATCAATGGATATGGTGAACAAAACCTTGCAGAATGTAATAAACCGTTTACCTGGGTCCGTAACCATCATTTTTTGAAGATGGATACGATTGATTACCTTGTTGTAGGGGAAAGTAGAATAACATCAGATACCTTCGTATGCTTTTCTACCATCTTTAGATATTGGACATCATCAGTGGGTACGGATATGATAAGTTGGAATCGAGTCCTTTGGGAAACCGGTTTTGAAAACTGAGAAGGAGTTACTGGATAGCATATTTCTAAACATGTAAACACATTTTGAATCCTTTCACGAGTCTTCCCTCATTTGTAGATTCTAGAGAAAGTGACTAATATGTTTCTTTGCGTCTGTAAACTATATGAGAATTTGGTCGTCGATCTAAAATAGGTTTATGGGGTCGGTACTTGAATGGATAACGTATCACTTCTTGGTGATCGTATTTTTTCGAATTTAAGTTCCACATCGCATCGGTAGGTGGAGACACTCTTCATCACTGGGGGTATTAAAAACGGAGGGGCGACGATGCGGATATAAAACCAGCGTCGACTTGCAGCCCAAATAATATATGAATTTTGAAATATTTGGCCCCATTATTATCTGCCTACACAATTGAGCTCTAATTTTGAACAAGTATTTCAGAAAAGTATGGTTTGAAATGTTATCAGAACGTAAGCATACAGGGTGCCCAAGACAAATGAAACAGTCTCATCACGAAAAATACAAGTTGATTGGACACGCATGAAGAGTGAATAGATCTGAAAGGAACGCAATTACCAATGGAGCAATACTATTAATGACCAATAGAGTTTTGTTCGGTCACGGCCCGACTACGGATTTGGAACCCGAGCAAACTGATTTCACACTTTACCCGGGAAGGGTCGCAAAAACTGCTCTCATTATGCCCGTTAACTGGCGTAACTGACAGCGTCTTGCCACACGACGCCAAATACACGCACGCATTGGGTGAACAAAGACATATTGAGACTGGTGTAGATATAATCATTGTCTGGCAACAAGTCATGACTTTCCACCGAGGTGTGATTAGGGGCTGAGTCCTGTTGCCTTCATACATATGCACTATTATTTGCTATTTTTATGGGTCATATAGGGCCTTACTGTTACATTAATCGGTATTCATAAGACAATTCACCCTACGCGCCACTTTGAAATGTTGATGGAGCTTATACAACAGTCTTAGAGGTGAAGGACACCCATTGGCATACCATTACAGGTCGGAAAAATTTAGTTTCGGTGACAAGGAGAGTGAACCTCTCTCTCTCTCTCTCTCAATACCAGCTATCCCATATTCCGTGCGATATGCTTCTGATTTTGGTAATAGGTTTTCTTATTGCGAAAGAACTAGGTTGTTCGTGTCTCAGCTTGATGTTTCACATTGTTCGGATGTTTTTCGAGATACTTTTCTACGAGAACTTTTCGCCTCAACACTTGCATACATATATATTTTTTCTCATCTATTTTGTTTATGAGAGTTGAATTATATCAATGATCAATTTATTTCTATAGCTAATTAGCCAACTTCCTAAAGGAACTATTTTGCATACAATTCTTTTGCTTATGAAATCACAAAATAAATATAGTTAACTTCGATTTATTTTTATTTGAAATATTTTTCAAAGTAGTGAAGACATTTTTGGAACTTTTTCTCTTCGTTATAAGTAAGTTGCTAAAACCAGGGAAAGTTTTATAAACTTATATATACAGAAAATGAAATAAATTTAAAAAATTCGTTCACCTTGTCATTGTTCGAATAAGTAGTTCTCTCGCAAGATACAGAGCGGACAGTATTCGGTTTTAAATAAATATTTCTTTGCAAGTCAATTTTTTTCATACTCGGAGGCAAGTCATAGGTACCAACACTAAAATTCAAGTGATAATTATTCTAAACGCCGCGTGACGCCGTAAAAAACTATTCATAATCCATTTTAATAGTCAAATTATACCATTTTATCGAATCGTTTTTGCGTTAACTATTAAATAAAAGGTGATAATTATAATGATTGCACAAGATTAACCCATTAAATCCAAGTACAAGATTTCATCCAAAATGGTAATTATTCGTATGGTGCTTTGGTTACTAACCTCGGTGAATCTTTGCCTTGAATATTATAAGGGAGAGTTCGGGGACATTTTATATTAAATGGATAACGGTTTTGCTTGACAATTCCATTTGAACTACTGTCGATTTGGTAGCTGGCTGGACCAGGAGTATTATTCTAAAAGTAAACGAAAAGCGAAAATTCGATATATTTTACAACTACCAATTTGTAAAAATCTCGTTTCGTTGTTGACCAGCCCGTCTTCTTATTGCAACTTGACCGTAAGTCGAAATCGATGCTTTTATACTAAGAAAATAAAGCAATTAAAACATTAATACATCATTTGTGTAGGTTCCAGGACCTAGGTTCGGATTTGCACTAGAACGGTGTTGAGTAATTCCAAATCGACTCGGAACAGTTTGTTCGAAGAATGTCTTACGTTCAGCACAAGAACCGAAGTTGAAGATGCTTTTATTTTGGCTGAAAATAGCTGTATGAAAAGATGTCGGTTAGTTTCCGATATATCAGCAATTTTTTTCAGTTATTTTTTGTGAAGGGTGACTATTCAATTATAATATTTCATTGATGCACTGTTGAAGAAGTGAATAAATGCACAGATTAAAAAAACGGCAAAAATTGATACAAAATTTCTTATTCATATCAAGCTTTAATCAGCATAGAGTTAAATACTCTGCTGTTCCTGAGGAATTCACAATCACCAAAATTTGCTCAAACGTTTAGAAACATTTCGTTTATTTAATTACATGAAACTTTCTTCAAGATTTCGTCCTCGCTCTCATCAAGCATTTTTTAATCTTGAAGAGAGCGGTATTTGAATCCAAGCCTTCATAAGGTCAATTATCGTATAAATGATAAAATTTTCATCATGAAAAATAATGCAACATAATGTCAGAATTTGTAATAATTTTATGAGATATTTGTTAGTCGAACCATGTTTTATTGCCTATTAACTTTCTCAACTTTTATGGCAACTATTTTTTGCATTAAAAGCTTTCTGTGTTAAGGGATTTTCCGTTGATGTAGCACTTAAAAACTATACATTTATTTATTATTCGAAAAATCTCTCTTATCTATCATTTTTTGGGTGTCCTTGACGTTGGTTAGCCTTTCTCTAGCTTCGACTGCTGTACGTGATTGCAGTTTGTCCTTTTTATATGTTTAAGTATCTTTGCTTTCGAAATGAATCTGCAAAATATTAATTGATTCTTCGCTCAGATATTAATTCCTTAATTACATTTCTTTAGATTATTTCCATAGAAATGGGACACTAATAATTTCTGAATATGGTCAACTGGTTCGTACTAACATTTGGGATATCAACTGTTTCTGCCGTTGTTTCTTTAATTATGCTACGGCGTATATTAAGACAAACGACTCTCTTCTGTGACTGTTTTTCTCCCCATCGTTCCCGTCGTGCTGTTATCACGGGAGCAACATCTGGGATTGGTCTAGCCGCAGCACATGAGCTTTCACGTCGAGGATGGAATCTTATTCTCGCTTGTCGAAACCTTGAAGCTGGATTGGCCGTCCAAAAATCCCTTTTAGAGCTTTATAAACCCCCCTCCATCGAAGTTCATCATCTGGATCTCGCTGATCTCTCCTCTATAACTCAATTTGCTGGAAAGTTATCTCCAATTGAGTCCATTGATGTATTGATTAATAACGCTGGAATAATGTCAGGTAGTCGCGTTGTCGTTCCTAGTCTTCAAGTTGACACTAATATGCTTGTCAACTTTATTGGCCAATTCTGCCTCTTTCAAGAACTTCTCCCCTTCCTTAAAAGTAGCCCTGAGCAACCTTCTTCCTTGCCTCGGGTCATTTTTGTTAGTTCAGCTCTTGGTGCCCGTGGAACAATACATACTTTCAATTCAAATCCCTTTCTGAAATGTCTTCCCCAGGAATCCTGGAATGCTCAAGCATCGTATGCAAACTCGAAACAAGCTCTCAATCTCTGTGCTCAAGAAATTGCAAGACGTTTTGGAGAGGGATCTAGCCGTTCTCTGAATGTCTACACAGTGATCACTGGTGGAATGGTTAATACTAATCTCAATCGGGATATTCTAATGGATTTACCATCTCCGGCTAGATGGTTTCTTCGGCGTCTTTCTGGACTTGTGCTTAAGACGCCTAAAGAGGGCTGTCAAAGTATAATCCACTGTGCCATTAGCGAAAATGTTTACGGAGCTCATTTGTTGGATGAAAGTGAAATGGATTTGAATCAAGGTAGTGGTCGTCTCTATCGAAACTGTTGTCCTGTTGAATGGCCGGACTCCTCTCAATCTGTTAAACTTGCCGCATCGATTTATTCAGAGGTGGATTCTATTTATCGTAAATACAGAAAATAGTCATATTTTTTATTAGATTGATTTTAGAGTGAGGAGATATTTGTACTAGTTATGTATTGCTTTTCATCTAAGAACTTAATTTTTTCTCTTTATCTAACGTCGAAATAAATTTGTTGAATTGTTTATTAGAAACTATCGACTAAGGAAATAAGGTGTTAGAGTTCTATGTTTAACTCCCGAATCGATTTGTTAGTGTTTTCCAACACTGCTTATTCACTGATATAATTTGAACTCGCACAGACGGAATAGTATCGTTTAATCACCCTGGGAGGATTAAGATAAGCAGAACAATAAGGACTGATTAATTCATTAAATACTGGGTGTCCCAAAAATGCATACACACTTAAAATAGTTGTAAACATAGTGTCTACTATTATTTCAGTTCAAATGTGAAGCAAATATTTAGAAGCAACATATTATTTTTTTGTTTTTAATGACAATGATTCAGACCGAAGAGTACAGTATCGCGAGTTGTGTTTGGAAGAATGTGTGCGAAAAGTAGAATTTTTAAGGAAGATTCTGTAGAGTGATGAGGCCACATTAACCGCCATGATTGCACCTGATACTCCATACGCTTCTGTCGACCGTCATGTAAATTTACCTTAAATTACAGTGTGGTGCGGTTTAACATCAGGAGGATTATTTGGACCATTCTTTTTAAACGCTACTCTAACAGGTCCCATTTACTTGAACATTCTACAGCAGTCTGACATGCCAGGCCTCAGAGAAGACTTTGAAGATGAAGAGTTTTATTTTCAGCAATATGGGGCACCCCCACCTCACCATCGCGGTTTTGTTGAATATCCTCCTCGTTCACCAGACCTCATACCACTAGATTTTTCTTATGGGGCTACTTAAAACACCAAGTCTACGCTACGAAACCTACAACATTTATTGTAAAAGAGAAGCCTTTGAGCATGAATGTGTCCAATTCCCAAGGGAATTATTATATAATGTGCGCGTTTCCATTATTTGACGTTGTCATCAGTGTCTGGTTCAAAATGGACTTCAGTTAGAGAACAAGAAGTGAAAACCAATAAAATGTTACGATAGTTGATCTAAATACGATCTTGCTTTATGAATAATCGAAATTTTTGTGTGAATAAAAATTGTCTAAATGTGGACTAGCTGACTTAAATCAAATAGATGCCAACCGCGGTCTATCCTATCCTTAATTGAGATGCTTTATCTATCATGCTATGTCACGAATCACGAATTCAATTTACTTTTGACGTCGTCCTTACTCGGGGCTTGTCTTTCTATCTTCTTTCTTTTCTCCCAAATAACTTGTGTAGATTCATTCTTGTACACATTAATATTCCTTCTTATAAATTTACTGATGGCATCTCAACAAAGGAGATCGCAGAAGTCATTCAACTAATCCATGGGGATTTGAAATGGAGCAGATTGTGGAAAGACCCGTAGGAAACAAGGCGGTATAATTTTATTTGATTGTTAAACACCCATCATTTTTTATCCACTTCTGAAATCAGCCATCAACAGGGCCAGAAGGTTATCAGTTTGTGGTTTGTCTGCACTTGGGTGATGGTCTGTTTGCCGTGCCTTCATACGCACGCATTTGCGAAAAACTGATGACAGATATCATCTAGGCGCATGATTTCGTGTTTTCTCATACTGTTAGTTGGCATTCTATTAGGTTGGCAATAAGTCATTGCCGATTTCAAATAAGAAGGCAAATTCGGAATTTTTGCTTAAAAATATAACTTTATTCAATTAGATATTGGCCGTTCTTGTCGATGACCTTTTTCCATCCTTCTGGCAGAGTACAAATTCCCCGTTCGTAAAATGTCTGGTCTTTGCTATTAAAAAACTGAATTAGGTGTGATCCGACATCATCCGCGTTGTTAAAAATTTGAACATTTAAAGAGTTTTGCATGGAACGAAACAAATGGTAATCCGAAGGCGCAAGGTCAGGGCTATATGGTGGGTGCGACAAAACATCCCAACCCAGTTCCAATAATTTTGGCCGAGTAACCAAAGATGTGTGGGGCCTTGGGTTATCATGATGGAAAACAACACCCTTCCGATTTGATAATGTCGGCCGCTTATCTTCAATTGCATCCTTCAGTTTTTCGAGTTCTTCAACATACACATTTGAATTTATCGTTTGGTTCTGCGGCATGAGTTCAAAATACAAAATTCCTTTGTGATCCCACCACACTGAAAGCATAATCTTTTTTTGGTGAATCTCTGCTTTTGATACTGTTTGGGCTGGTTGATCTTGCTTCACCCATGATCTCTTGCGAGTAACATTGTTATAAACTATCCACTTTTCGCCGCCAGTAACTAGGTTCTTCAGAAATGGATCATTCTCATTGCGTTTCAGTAGCGGCGAATCACAGATGCTAATCCGTTGCGTCAAATGAATTTCCTTTAACTGGTGAGGGATCCATAAATCAAGTTTCTTGACATAACCAAGGGTTTTTCATTTTTTTTCAATGCATGTATGCGACACATTGAGCTTCTCTGCAATATCTCGTGTTGTGCTGTGACGATTTGAATCGATAATGGCCTTGATATGGGTTTCATCCACTTCGACTGGGCGGCCAGATCGTTGTGAATTTTTCAGTGAAAAATCACCGGAACGAAATCTTTCAAACCAATTTCGACACTGCCTTTCTTTTAAGGCTTCATCTCCATATACGGCACATAACTTCTTTTGTGCTTGCGATGCGTTCTTGCCTTTTCGGAAGTAATACAATAAAATGTGTCAGAAGTGCACGTCCTGTTCTTTCATTTTTAAATTGGGATAAAAACAAAACTAAAGAAGTAAACAAAAAAATTTTTTTACTAATTAACCTAGAAGCCCATACAGTAAGAAAAAAATATGGGTTAGATGCTCTGGCCACGTTAACAAAACAAAAGAAAGTATAGAGTGAATCTGTCAGTAAAAACGCCAATGACTTAGTTGCCAACCCAATAGTTAGTGCTCATCATAAATGCTTATCGTATTCTCTTTTAATTATGCATTTTGTGAAAATTCTATTCATGCTCAGGAAGCCACGTTTCTCCACAAACGGCAGGCATTTTAAATCGGAGTCTGAATTTGGGAGGAAAGACGTGCCATAAAGTTTATTCAATGCGTTTTGCAATACTAACTTGCAGAATTTGAAAGGAAAGCAAAAGAATTTTGTGAAATTTTAATCATGCATTACAATAAAGAAGGAAACTACAGTACTTAAAATAGTAGCTTCATAAAAAACAAAGAAATTAATTTATAGTTTGCTATGAAAATCGTAGCCATGGCATTAAGAATGAGCTATATAAATTCAAGAATAGAAAAAACGGAATTGAAATTTCTAACAGACATCTTAAAATAAACATCCATACTAAATAAAGAATAGATAAATTAATCTCCAAGTTGAAAGAGTTAAAAAGAAGGTGCTGTGCTCGATTAATTTTGCACAAAAAAGGGAAAAATATTGCCAAATTCAAGCGCCTTCCTTTGCTTTGAATGGAAGATTTGGAGGCAAAGCTATTCAAAAACTTGGAAATTTTATTCTTCTGGTCTATTGAGAAATCAGAGCCACCTTCCTAGTCAGTACAAGTCGAAATTGATAGACATGCAGCGGATTGCTACGCTAGTAAAGCCTGACTGACTCAGAAATCTCTATGGCAGATTCCCTAAGTAAAGCCTGACTGACTCAGAAATCTCTATGGCAGATTCTCCTACATCTAGCTAGACTCCCAGAACCAGCTAAGCTATAGCCCAGCTATAAAGGAAACAGGCGTGTAGTACGGAGAACGTTTATCCAGTGAGTATATTGTGGATAAAGTGTACACGCATGGAGCTACTCATGATCAGAATGGAGGATTAGGTTAAACAAACAGAGGTTAATGATTGGTCACTATTTTTACGGTGGCACCTCCCAATCTTGGCGTGCAGGCATGCGATGACGTGATGACGCACAAAGCGATAACGTGTCCCACAGACATCAAATCCCAAGATGGAAATTCCAAAATATTCGAAAGGGAGTGAACCGAAACTTCAATTCCGAAGAACAAAACATCGAAGCCCAAGCGTCCATTTGTGCCCAAAACTACGTTTCGAGTAGATCTATTAATCAACGATCTATTTGAATAAATTGATCAGTTCAATAATTCTTAAAAAACACAGAACTATAGTGAATAAGATCAACCTTGTGACTTGCAAAGTTACAGTGATTTGGAAGTAAACAAAAGTGGATTCCGTACTCGTCTATTTTGGCATTGCTAAAATGCTAGTAAGCCCAATTGCTACCCCGAGGTACTGTTAACATCCTTTTGATTCAGATCCGGAGGGAAACTTTTTATAGAAAGAACGTAAGTAAAGTTTGAAGGTCAGGGCATTATTTAGACAGCGAGAGGTTTATCTTGGACGTTAATCTAGATATCTGGTTGTCTCTTTCCTATTGCCAAACTTAAACGCATATTCAAAGAGCAAATAACATGTCTGAAGCATGAATGCTTGAAAAAAGTGATTTGCGTTGCCCTCTTTCTGCATGGCACGTAGAAGAAGGCATATACCTTTTCAAGCAAAATTAGAATGAATTTAATTTGTCGCCTCAGTAACGCTTTCAATAACCCTCGATCTTGAAATATGTGATTGGTCTGATTTTCGAGTTGTCTCCTGCCGAGGAGATGCGTTCCAACGTTTATGTATTCCACAATTCATCGACATGTTTTAAAAGTAAAATTTTAAATGTTAGCACAACTTTCGCCACTAATTTAGAAAATAAAAGAAAATAGAGCAAGAAACCGTAAAATTTGAGAAAAATGTGTAATGTTCAAGTATGTGCAAGCACACGTAAAAAGAATGAAGCTGAATAGAGTTTAAATGGAAAATCGGAATGGAAAATTGCATGCATGAGTTGAATTTATCTTGCATCAAAGTTTTACTCTTTTAGAACCTACCTGAAGTAGAAAATACTTCTAATATTGGGACCATCAACTGTTTGGCAAACGGATGCGAAGGCAAAGCTGTGGGGAAAATATTTTTG